TTCTGTTCTTCTCACCTGTCAACAGCACACGAAGGCATTCCTCCTGTCCATGAGCCGCAGCCTCATGCAGAGAAATCCAGCCCTGCTGAGATCTCTCTCTCAAACTTCTTCCAGCAGCAATCATCTCCAGCAAAACATCTACACTACCACTTTGGATAGCTCCAACAACAGGGTCAATCAGCCTTGAAAAGAGTAACACAGATTAATTAAAGAGGTGGTTTGGCCACACAGTTCTCCTCTTAAGCCCAAATGTATTTGGTCAGTCATGATATATTTGTTGTCTGAAGTTTGTGTCCTGAGTTTTGCACTGCAGCTGCTGTAGGCTAATGTAGCTAACAGGCGATGAAAGTGTATACACCACCAATCAGCATTGTGCAAACAGTCAAGTAATCTCAAACTAACCTGCTTAAGGGATTTCTGATATTGTATGACAGTGTTATCTAAAAAATTTTAGCAACTTATGATTCATAAAGTATTGTAGAAAAGTGCACCAATATTTTTTTTTCCATTTAAAACAGCTATTAAATACATAAGGAAGGGTGAAGTTAAAAGAAAATAGGTGAAACAACAGGACTTTCCAAAAGGGAACTTTAAAAACTATAAAAATAGAGGGAAAATGGAACTCCTAACAACCGTGCAAGACCAGGTAGACAAAAAAGAAGAAGATTTGCAAATCAAACAAAGAAGCTGCTGGTGTTCTTAGAACAATGGACTGACCACCCCAGAGTCCAGACCTCAACATCACTGAATGTGCTTGGGATAATGTAGATTGCTAGAAAATGCAACCGACTTCTAAGACTGAACTTTGGAGGTTTGGAAAACTATCCCTGCAGAAGCAAGTTTCCAGAAAGGAATGGACGCTGTAGTAAAGGCAAAGAGTGGACACAGAATAAAACTGAAAATTATTCTTCTGTGTCATTTTCAATACATGTTTTCTTTTTTAAAAATAAGCAACTCATACTTAGTTGCCTTTTACTTGAAATAAAATAGGTAAAGTGTGGTCTCTGACTTTTGCACAGTACTGTGTATCAGCAAGGAATAATTTCTTAAAGCAAAGTGATGGCAGTGAAGCCTCTTACTCCTCTGGCTCTTTGGTGGAGTAAAATGTTCCATCATATCTCCTCCATGCCACACAGCGAGTCCCATCACTGCTGAGAAAGGAGTAAGACCTCGTGGCCTCAGAAGTAGAGACGTTTAGAAGGATCTCAGCTTTCATCCTCACCTTGCATGTTTCATCAAAGACACACTGTGTCAGAGATTTGTCTTTCAATAAAACCTCAGGTGAGTTGTTAAAGGTTGGCATGTTATATTCCTATAAATAAAAGTAGTTAAATTGGTCATTGATCTAGTGATTAATATATGGATATTATTAGGATTAAATGGCTCAATCATGCTAAAATTTGTGTAATATGGCAAGATGGATTGTTAGCACTGCTGACAACATTAAAAAAATTGTAATACTTTTAACAATTCTAATTAGATTCTGCAAGCAATTACTCAATGATTCTTCCTGGGATTATGTAATATGTGTGCAGTGCATTGCGGTGCTAATGTAATTATCAATTACAGTAACACTCTATTTTTGTACTAGAGCTTTGTTTCCTTTGCAAGCTCTTCATATTTTCCCAGTCCAAGAATAATCCCTCTCAGCTGCTGAAGGATGTTTCAAATATGGAAGACATGGATACTGTGCACAACACAGCAACCCTCTGCTGGAGTCCTGCTGTCTGCTCCTGACCTCAGAGTAAAATTAGGCAATAGCATCCTGGAAAGTGCAAGTACAACAACACAGGCTGCAACAGGATGCTAGGACTGCAAGTCCATCTGATATCTTTAAAACTCCCATGGAGTCACTCTGTGCTTTTGGTTTCCATAAGAAGAGCTTGATGATTTTTTATTCTTACACTTTTCTCATTGTAGATCCACCAAGCCAGAGAGAGAATCAATGACTTTTACAATTCTGACATAATCTTACATGGTGTTTCATAAGGTGTGAGATGTAATTCAAGTAATTCATCAATTATGCAGCATCAAATGGAGCATTGTACCAAATTAATTCAAACTGCAGTCCCACAGTGATAAAAAACTTTATAAAAAAAAATTATAATATTCAGAGCTTAGAAATTTACATAGATTATGTGGTGATCTAGCATTTTGAATGTTTTTTTTTCAAAAATATCTTTTTATTTCTTTTAAAGTGAAGTTTTAGGTTTCATTTAAAAAAGAATAAATAAAATGTCTGTTTCATGTTTTCTTGTCATTACTGAAACAAAAAGAGTTTTAGTTTATAGCCAGAGCCTTATTTTGGCCACATGCTATTCTAGAGCAGGAAGTGAGACTGCATCCCTGTCCCCCATGACCACATGCTGAGCAGTAAGATCCAACTGTTTTGAAGTGTGTGAAAGTCTGAAAATCAGTATCTTTCCTGCAAATTTTAGTGCACAATTTATCCTTATTTGCTGAGTTTAAAACACCGGAAAAATATAAAATCTATTACTTGTAATTGTAATTTTTTTTACTCATACAGTGTAGACTAAAATGCTATACACACTATAAACTACTAAAAGTTAATTACTTGGAAGAAAGTATGTAAAGATGTTGTATTTAATTATTTAATTTAATTTTTTGGACATCAAGAATTTTTAAATGATAACGAATATATTATAGCTATGTACATACAATTATTTTTTGGTATGTTATCTGCCTGAGATCTAATCACCACTTTTAAAAAAAATCAATGCATTCTGGACATCAATTTTATTAGAACTTAATTCTCAATGTTATTCAGCTTTCCTTTTCAGAGTCCTCTGCAGTTCTGTTCATCATTTGGGACACATCATTTTCTTTCTTCAGTTTTGAAGTTGATGTTGTAGAGTACTAACATCATACATGCATTTTATGTGTCATGCAAATATGTATATCATCATATATGTATACATATATTTATAGATAGATAGATAGATAGATAGATGGTGTAGGGCATCTTACTGAAGTCACAATGAAGTCTTCACAAGCCTTTTATCATGCTAACATGCTGTGTTACAGTATTGTATGGCATACATACAAACACCTGCTAATTCTACACAAATTGGTGAGTAATACAAAGAGATATGAATCAATTTTCAAATGCTATAAAAAAGCCTATATAGCATGAAACTTTACTAATAAAAGTACTAATAAGAATTAAAGTCATCGTACCTTTAGTCTTGTGCAGAACTGCAGCAGTCAGAGAAATAGCAGTATGATCTCAAGGAGGCAGTACACTAAACCTGCAAGAGCAGCTCACATGTTCTTTAAAGCTACAGGAAGCATCTCACGTGCACTCCAAACACAGGCTGTATAGACATAGATTGGGATAGGCTCACATAACAAACACTGGTTACAGCTAATAAATATGCAGAACTCTCATACAGTGGCGTGCTGTGACTGGAGACCATGATACTGTCTTCTTAAAAGTCAAATGACAAATTACAATGCAAAATAGGTTCTAAATTATAAATCTAAATGATCTCCATGTTACTGCCCATAGATTTAGAATAGGATGTCGTAAAAGCTCCTGTACACTCTCAGAAAAAAAGGTAGTAAACTGTCACTGGGGCAGTACCCCTCTTGTTCCTGGGGTGGGACCCTCAAGGGTACATCTAAAGTACCTTTAGTCAGGGCACAAAATTGTACCATAATCCACTGAAATGATATTTTCTAAGTTGTATTAACTCCGCAAACCCCATCTCATCTCCAGGCTTTTTATTGTATTGTTCTGTTTTGAAACATTAGGTTATGAAAAACTACAAATATACCCTTTTTCACTAGTATAAATTTATTTAAGGAACACAGTTGGACCTTAAAACCACTGTTGTACCCTTGAGGGTACATTTACATTGTTTGTACCTCGATGAATGAAAAATGTACCTGCACAGAACATTTATTTCTAACAGTGTAGGTGTAATGTGAGGTTGTCCCAATACTACTGTCCTTATAGTGTATAATTACTGTTTAAAACCAACATTTAACATCAGAATAAATGATATATATATTCATAGTAAAAAGTATTAAGAATGTCTTGTCTTCAGGTTCTCGGATAGGTCTCACAAACATGTTTTATTATATTTCCATCTTGCTTTTTCCTTTGAAATTGTACAGGGTGTTTTATATAATAATCAATTTAAGTATCATACAAACATTTTTTGTATTGTAACCTGTGCTCCCTGGCAGTTTAATGGAACATTTATTAAGCCAAATCAGGTATTGGATGTTAATAATTACTACTAGCTTCTTCCAAGATAGATATGGAAATAATTAAATAAACATATTGACATAAAAGTGGTATTTAATATTTATTTATTGTATTAATATTAGTTGTGTCTTTTCCAATATTTGTGTTTTTTTCTGAGCAAATAAACACCACTTACAGGCAAATAAAGTTTAAAAACGATGTTCTCAAATGGCTACTTTTGCACAGCACTATACATACATACATATGTATATATGTATAGATTGATATATAGATGTAGATATAGATCTAAACACATACAAACACATATATAGTCTTACTGGACTACTTTTGATGTTGATTGATTTTGTATCCATGTGTATTTGTTAAACTCCATGCAGATTTCTTACTCTGTATATATGTGAAATGACAGTTTTGATCATATTGTGCCCTCTGGTGCTCATATTAGAAAATAACACCAAGGGACAGGTGCAACACATGCAAGAAATGGTTCTAGCATCTTTAGTAATCAGTTTCTTCCACTGTTAGCTCTACAGGGCTAGTATTAGACAAATGATGCAGCAGTGTAAGTTTTCCAGCATATGATTCAGACAATGCTTTGCAGTCTGACTGTGTATGCATGTAGACAATTGATGTGTCTTTATTTCTTGAAAACACAGTCAGGAAGAAATAATATTCATAATACATTTTAATAAATAGTTACTAGATGTCTCTAAACGTAGGCTTCTTCAAGTAAATTCAGTAAAATCAGCAAATTCACACAGTAAGGCACATTTGTTACCACATGAATATATTTGGTCACCATTGACATTTTCTTTGTATACATAGTATTAAGGAGTGAACTAAAGCAAAGTAAATTCACAACTGTCAGTTTTAAAAATCTTTCTTTGTTAGTGCCTGTTAGTGTCCACACTCAGAACCCCTGAATTTTAGGATTTAAGTCACTGGGCAGATAATATTGTCTGTGGTTGGTTTAAGATATTTTAAAGAAATCATTGGGATAGGCCTTGGTGTTACATAGCAAGTGAAGAGAGGTGATTGTCAGTGCTTGAAGAACTGAATGTGGAAATCTTGCTCTGCATTTCATAGTAGGCCTGACAAATCAAATCTCAGTTGTTTAACTTCATTCACACAGCTTTAAACCTTCAACCTCACCTAAAAAGTAAGCTTTTGGCTAATTATTTGACAAATAAAGACCCTAAAATAATTAACCAAACTGCAATAAAACTACTCATACAGCTCTTGTCTTAACCAGTGATGAAGAAATGAAACAAGACTCAAGTTAAACTTTAAACAAATATAAATTGCATGGATCAGATGACCCTTTGTCATTAGAGCTCTTTAAGATCTTTAACTGTGATTTTCATAAGAAATACTTAAAAAAATACGTAGTGTCAAACTTGGAATTTTGATTTCAGTGGAAAAAATCAACTTCACCAATTAAATAATTACTTGTATTTTTCAAAATAAAATTAAGCACATTATTTAACTTGGCTGCTGTATTGATTAAAACAACAGTTTTGCTAAACTCCACCACTGTTACCAAAGAAAACTATGAAGAAATAAATTACTATTTAATAACTAAGACCATTTTCTACATTACAACATTGTCATATCATTCCTGCTTTTAACTGCTATTTACATAGAAAAGGTTTGAAAAATATATACACACAAAATGCATCTACACTGTAATATGAGTGAGCCAAATGCACAGTAAATTCTACAGCTGTTTGCAGTGATACGCTGGATGCTGTTTCCTTCTATTTCCCTTCTTCTGTTTACTCTTCAGACCCAAAATAGTCTTGTGTGCGTTCCTCGTGATTCAGGAATTTGATCAGTCGTCCAGGTATGGGCAGGGTTTTTATTTTCTTCAGTCTCTTTATGCCGAGCAGCTGGCGGATCTTGAGTCTACAGAGCTGCATCAGTGGCCGTGGAGGCACTGAAACAAGAACATAATGAAGAGCAGGATGAATTCAGGTTTGAAAATGTAAAATGTGTCTACATGTCTTATAGTGCAGTATCAGGTGCTTAGCAGATGACCATACAAATGATTACTGACAAAGATTGATGTCTAGAACTTCAACTCTGTGAACCTGCTGATTCTTCTTAATCTAACTCCTAATCTATTCATAACTATATACTTTAGTTTCTTTCAATTTAGTGATCATTATGCAATGTACAACACTACTGTTATCCAATTTATTTCATTTTTTCTTCTTCTTTTTCCCCTACCTGTCCCTGAGATATCCATACTAAACCAACTCTAGAAAGTTTGATCTAAATGTGAAAAGTGTGCTTGTACACAGCTTTTTGATTTGCTGTATGCTTTCTATGAAGTTATTGTGCAAAAATCTGATTTTTTTTCCATAAAAATGAATGCCAGAATGCTCAAAAAAATGGTTGTGCAAAAGTTTGTACAACCCCTTATGTCACTATGATACAAGTAGACTAGCAACACCCTAACAACTACCTAAAATATCATAGCAACCACCTGCAAACATGTAGCAACCATGTAAGATACCATAGCAACTGCCTAGACACCACCTCAGACCACAGCAACCACTTAATAACACCCTAGCAACCACCTGCAAAACCATAGCAACTGCTTAGCAACAACCTAACAGCCATCCACAATACCATAGAAACCAATTATCAACACTCTTGCAGCCACCTGTAATACCGTACGCGCTGCCTAGAAATCTCCTAGCAATACCAGAGATGTGCTTAAACTGTGTTTTCAGTCTGTATTTTCTTCAGAAAATGCACTTTTTTAGAAATGGTAGTGAACAAATAATAGGCCTCAAGTTTAATTACTGAACAATAAGTTTTTGTTTTTTGTTTTTTTTGGGGGGGTGGAGGGGGCGGGTAAAATGGCTGATCATAAAACAATAAAAAACTGAGAGGACATTACAGACACATCCTTCACCAAGTGCAACATAGCAACATAGGCTGGTTTTGTGTTGTAATAAACATACTTGCTTTCTCCTTGATGCTTTCCCAGTCCGGGTAGCTGTCCAAGTGTTCTATGAGCCGGGCGCAAAGTTTGACATGACCAACGTAGTCCAGCAGCACGTCTATGATGGGTCCTGCCCACCGACTGTAAGTGTCAGTGGAGATCACCTCACAAAACTAGAAAAGGGAAAATATTAAAACTTAACTTCAAATAACGGATATAACTACAACATGAAAGAGCAGTCAGAAAACAGATATCAGGCAAGACCATAAATTGTAGACTGAGATGCCAGTTTATTAGATACACCTACAATGTACACTCAATGGCTGTGTAGTTTTTTGTTTACATTTACTTTCTGTAGCCTATCTGTTGCTGCATAATTTATCAGCCCGCTTGTACTCTGTGCATCAATGGAAAGGGACCACCATAAGATCAAGCATCACCACTGACCAGATATTATTGGTGGACCAGATATTTGTAGTGGACCATTCTCAGCACTGCCGTCATACCAACATGGGGAAATTTATATAACTCTTATATATATATTCTTTACTCTCAATGTAGATTAATGGAAAGAGATTTTATTTGAAGCAATTGTGGAGCATTTATACTGGCACAATCATCACAAAATTTTCACACAATGTAAAAGACAGTGGCAGAGCTCAGATAGCTTAGTGGCAGAGATAGATAGATAGATAGATAGATAGATAGACATAGATAGATAGATAGATAGATAGGTAGACAGACAGACAGACAGATAGATAGATAGATAGATAGATAGATAGATAGATAGATAGATAGATAGATAGATAGATAGATAGCTGTCAAGAAGTGATTACTGAGGAAAGCCAATAGGAAAAAAGAAAAAAATTGCAAATCTAAAACTAAATACTGAAAAAAAAAGATATTATATTTAGCTTTTGTGAAATATTCAGTTTTTTTCTGACAATGAAAAATAAGCAACTTACACATAATAGCTTTTTTAACTGGAAATAAAATAAATGAAGGCATCTGGTCTCTGATCTTTGCCCAATAGTGTATACCTACCTGAACACAGACGCTCTGTGGCTCACTGTCCTCTCTGTTACTGCGTGTGGTCTTCAAAGGTGGATGAGGATTGCTGCCGTACACGCAGTTAAAACATGACAAAGCATCGCAGCCATTGTCCATTAGATACTTGAGCACTGTGAGGTACTTCATGCAGAACATTACAGTAGCTGGGAAGGTGGTGGGGTGCGTGGGGATATACACATTAATGTTTGCACCGTGCTTAATCAGTAATGTCACAGTGGTCATGCAGCCCTGCCTCAAGGCTACTAGCAGAGGGCTGAAAGTGTCCAGGTTTGGGCTGGCACCGGCTTCCAGGAGCATGCTGGTTGCCTCAATGTTGTTATTAATGACGGCGTAGTATAGAGCAGTGCTGCGGTGATCTTCATACATCTTTCTGCGGTCCTCAGACAGCATGGCATTGACGTCAAAGCCAGCCTCAATCAGAAGCTCCAAGACATCGTCCCTGTTGCGTTCTGCGGCCAGATGCAGCGGGCTAATGCCAGTGCGCCTCACTCGGGCCTTACTGGTGGCCGGAATCAGCAAGGACACGATTCTGAAATACAGTCAAACAGTTTTAAGGCAAAACCATTCACCATAATGTCAGTGCTAGAGTACTCTGTTAGGATTTTACATGATATGAGATGATGGTTTAGTAGGGGCTAAGCAAGAGCACTGAAACAGTGTTTAAATTATAACTTAAAACAGAAGGAGGTCTCATGCCACCAAAGGTAAGGATGATTAATTTTTATTTACATGATTAAGGAAGACCCTGCAAGTTCTGTGCAGAGAGAGTTTCCGAATGATTTTTGATAATGGAATGAAAACACTAGTGAAAGAACAAAAGAACACACATGGTTAAAGCAAAATTTTTGGAGATTAACATTACATTTTTATTTTACTATTAATGTTACAGTATAGCATATTCCAGAGGTGCCCAACCCTAGTCCTGGTGATCTAACGCATTGTAGAGTTTAGCTCCAGCCCTGATCTATTCATGTGAATTAACAGCCTTCAGAAGCATTTGAATATTAAAACCAGCCTGAAGAGCTGAAACAAAACTCTCCCCGGCAGAGGATCACTAGGACCAGAGTTGGGCACCACTGGCATAGACAATATGTTAGCTTGGGTTAAGGTTACATGTTACATGTTAATTTAGCACCTTGTTGCAATAACATAACTATTAATCAGCCACCAAGACTTACTTAACCGCCTTGTCACTTTTGCGGGTACACCCGTAAGTGAGGAGGTCACGGCTGAAAACCGATGCAAGATCATGAGATGCACTAAATCATGTCTTGGGTAGCATTTTCATTTATTAGTTTATTTTTAAAAAATACTTTTAACAAGAATAAAAATACAAATAATTAAATTAAAGGTACACTTATGCAGTAAACATTCCCCCAGTATAAAAAACTACTGAAAATACATGTGACATGCTGACAGTGAGCCTGGGCTAGACAGGTTTTATAGATATTATGTATCCAATCTGATCTGAGAACAACTGCATTATTAAGCATTGCAGTTTCTGCAGTCACTAACAGAAAGTATGTTTTTTGTGCTAGAAGAAACTGACATGATGATCACAAGAATGTATAGGAGGAGCTGGGAATGTTGGCACAGTTTTCACTCTCTGCTGTATATCCCAGGCATACCATATACTACAACAACCCCCTAGCAGCAAATGAAAGTTGAACAGCATAACAAACAATTTTAATGTCTGAAAATGTTTCCTAGAATTAGTATATTGAAGTTGTGCACTTGTGCCAACCAGCCCTAACATGGGGCCAGCTGTCACGTTGTGGGGATAGTTGGCACACAAGGTTTCTAAGAATAAAGCAACAATTAGAAATAATCCTAATTTTTAAATTAAGCCAAACTGCAAATATCAAAAACTTTTGACAGCAACCAAATGATGTTTTGAATTCATTAAATGTAATGATTGTTTAATTTTGTCTTGAGGTCTCTTTGAAACTTTTTGGACTGCTTTTATGTAGAATGGCTCATTCCAACTTTTAATCCTGACTGGCTCCACTCCTCCATAACTACACACACCTTTAACCCATTCCAAGGACATTAGCCCACATATATAAACCCTTTTGCTTGACCTGCTAGTTGTAAAGTCTCTGTGTCCTTACCTGAGTGCTGAGCCTTTCTTTGCTAGTTTGGTGCAGTGTTTAGACTCTTGCTTTGTCTCCTGGTTTTTGAATAATGGAATAATGGATCTGCTTGCCTGTGATCTGACCTCAGCCTGTTATGACTCTGATATAGGATTTCCCCTAATAAGGGCACTCTTTTAATGCAGCCTCTCTCAACCCATTTGTTACAATTTTTTTTTATATATAATCATCTTGTCTTGAATAAAAAACTGCTAATAATATTAACAACAATAACAATAACAGCATCATCAACCTGGGCCAATTTATCAATTAAATTTTTATTAGACTATATTAAAACATCACAATTTATCATGAGCAATCCTTCCTCTATTTAGTGAATTAAATACTGTTTTGTTAAAATGAAATAAAAGTTAAATCTATTAAAATAAATAGCCCTTATTTAAAACATAAATAGTGTTGGGTTCAAGGTAGTATGCTTTTTAGAATGTGTAAAGCCAATAATCTAAAATAATACATGGTTGTGACAATAGCCCTACACAGGCTGACACATGTGCCAACCAACCCCAAACCTTAAATCAATGTGCCAACCAACTCCAAAGCCCAAAATCAATGTGCCAACAAACTCCACCAACAGAACACAACTTTTTCCTATGTCTCTTTTTCTATAGTGTATTTACTCAGGGAAACATTTTTGTTTAAACACAGAAAAAAGATCCCCACCAGATTATAACATTCAGGGCATGTTACAGAAATGCATATTTTTTTATTACATTTTTGTTAGAGTTCTTCATACTGACCCATACATTAACCCTGTACCAACCAACATTTGCGCTAACCAATCCTGATCCACGCAAAATAAGGTTTACATAGAATTTGAACACATTTTAGCACTGATTGCTAAAGTACTGTACATTGTGCATATGTAACCAAAAACATAACTTGAGAGTCAGCCTACGGATTATGATTCTACAGTGAATGACTTTTGCTCACCCATCATTTCCACGCTGAGCAGCAATATGTATTGGCAGCAGTCCAGTCCTGCCTGGCTTGTTGGCATCCGCGTTTTGAGACAGAAGGAACTCCACAACGTTCACGTGACCATTCTTACAGGCTTCGTACAGTGCTGTGGCTCCATCTGCTGCCTGGCTGTTGATATCTGCCCCTGATATTAAACAGAAACACAGACTTTTAATACTTTCACTTGTGATATCTCTGCTACACCAGCACAGTTCTGATTAGTGGCAAAACCTTTTTCAAAATACCATTTTTCAAGAGGAACCGAAGTGCATCCACATTTCCAGTTTGAGCTGCCACAAAGATGGGTGTGATGCCGTACATGTTGGCCGTGCTGATTTTGGCACCTGCCTTCACCAGCATCTCACAGATCTCCACATTGTTCCTGCACACAGCCTCATGGAGAGCAGTCCAGCCTTGGATACAGCTCTTGTTCACATTGGCTTTGTAATTCAGCAGCATGGCAACAATGGTGGAGTTCTCCTTCTCACAAGCTGGGGAAATGTATAGCCAAGACAAAGGAAAAAGAGGTGCTTTGAACAACTATGAGTGAGATGCAACTGAATACAAAAAAAAGATGCAGCACTTTGCAGCACAGTAAAGAAAGCACTTTATTGTGTCAATGTGCCTGAGGTACCTTTGAAACATCTCAGATGAAGGCCTTGAATGTGGCCCATCATGTCTTTAACTCAATGAAGTGCTTTTTTGCTATGATGCAGGCTGAATGTTCCACATATTTAATCTAATGAGATGTAAAGCCAGGTCTGCCAATCTGACAAGCTTCATGCTTAAGAGAGAATGTAAGACAGATATAAGCAAGCTTGGCTCAAGAATGGATGCTAGTAGCCCTGGTTCTAGAACAAAATGACTGAGTGTACAATAAAAATAAAGGGTGGGGTGCATCGATTTACGTAGACTTCTTGCTAGCCAACATCCACTGTAGGGTTGCTACTCAGCCAATTTGACTACAGAAATTTTGGAGGTGGCTCTGATACTGATTCCATGTGAAGGGAGTTGATTCTAAGAATCGATTCCAAAAAACCAAGACATATAAAAGAAATCTGGCAAAAATAATGAGAACAATATTAAATATATTTGACCTTAGGAAAGAAATTGTTGTCCCTGATTCTCCTCTGTCAACTCCTTCAGGTGGGTGGATGTTTTAGTACTGGCTAAGTAGTTTGATTGTAAACTGTAAATAAGGTCATCTCAGCAAGTGAAAGTATCTTATAATCTAGTCAATATACGTTTAATATTCTCATGTTGAGATTGTTGTAAGCTTATTCTATGATTATTTAACTTATTTCTAGACATTTTTACTTGTATTACATATTTTTTTTATTTAATAAATGAGGTATTTTTTAACCCCTCAAAATCCCAGGTTTATTATATACTAATATATACTATTCATAAAGCAAAAGTATCTGCCATTCATTTTTTTTCTTGATTCAAAACAAGTTAAATAATCTCATAATAAGCTTACAACAATCTCAACATGAGATTGAATTAACATGAATATTAGATATTTTGACTAAATGAAACTTCCTATACTTGCCAAGATACCAGTTTTGCAGTGTAAGCCAATTTTACTTTACTAATTTTACTTTTACTTTGTTTTCCATTTTGTTTAAAGTGAAGTACAGCTTGACTATTCATGTGTGAGTCGTGGAGAAATGTATTTTTCAGATAGACTGCACTCAAAAAATATTTAAGCCCAAAAGTTAAAACTTATGTATTTTAGTTACATGTCAATTTTCCATTCAATTTAAATACATAAATCCAATGTAAAAAATGCTATTATAATGTATGTTTCTCCATCATTTTCAATAAACCTGAATGAATTAAATAACATTTCAATTAGAAGTACTTAGAAGGATTTATGCAATTCTTTTACATAACATTTATGTATTTCTAAAGAGTTAATACTACCTTCTGTATTCACAGCACAATAGCTTAGACTGTGTAAATGTATTAAATGACAATATATGTTAAATTCACAAACATTTGTTGTAGTCCAAATTATATTAAACAGTATTTGCTGAGGCTCATTACAAGACACATGTAAACTTTAAAGTCTAATGTGAAAAAAGTAAACATAACTTTATATATTTCAGCTGTGATCAAATTCCCTGGTTTAGAATTTCTGTTCACTTGCAACTTAACTACTAATTAAAGCAAATGTTTATGTGCACAACTTTCCTATTGAGGTGCGACTCTCATGCTAATCATCATACAAGTTAGCTAGCTAACACTATCAGTCACTTCATGCCATGCTAACATGTCGAGGTCACCTACAGTTACAAAAAACATGAACTGTTGATTTGAATATTAATAGAATACATCTTTATATTCTATGCTTCACAATAAATCACTCCCATTGTTTATTTAATCTACCTTGTGTACCCGTTAACATGACAGCAGACCTGGCAAGGATGCTAGCTAGCTAGTTCGCTGGTGTTGTCTAGAGTATCTCTCAAAATAAGCAAAATGAAACATTAATATATGGTCAAAAACATTAAAAACACAAATGAAGTTAATGCGCATCACTATTTCATTGCAGTTTCACTGCATAACAAAGGATGACAGGAGACTGTAAAAATAAAATGAGCCATTTCATTTCCACTATGCCAGCTGAAGCAATTTCCTGGTTGATGATGCGTTTCCTGTTACTATTGCACATGAGCACTGCCTCCTAATAAGATTTAGTGGAAAAATCTAAAAGGTCTTATACAATTCAATTAAATCAGGATGGATTTATCCAAACTGGGTTGCTTCTAATGAATGTAAATAAGTAAAGTATTTTTTATGTTTTTTAAATAAGTTTTATGTAAAATATTTGCTTAATGTTTATGATGGCCATAAATCATTTTTGAGTGTGTCTAGACAGTGACAGCAGAATATCTCATGCTCACAGAGGGAATAAAGTCCAAAGCTTAGCTCAAATTCCAAATGCCTGGAATCAAGGAATCGATTCTTTTTAGGATTTTACAGGGCTGAAGTGGTGACCCTACCTGCATAATAAAGAATCAGCTGAATCAGATATTGGAGAAATTGAAACAAATGGTTTGATAAAATGAATGTAATTTCCCATCAGTACAGTAAACACTCTCACACTTTAGGCATTATCAGATGCATGTGTGCTATGAAGGCTAATTGACGTCTTCAAACTATGCTATCAGAGTTAGGAAGGATGTATGATTTAGGAAGTCAATTCAGGGTGTGATTCATGCTTTGCACCCCTGTAGAACCAAGCTTGGCTACATGTGTACCTTTATATAGGGGTGTCTCTTTGTCCTGGTTCGCAAGATCTGGGTCAGCCCCTCTCTCAAGAAGACATTCCACACAGTCTGCATTGTCCCTGGACACAGCCAGGAGAAGAGCAGTCTGATCCTTCAAAGTGTGCTTGTTAATCATCCCAGGTTGTACTTTAACAATAGCAACATAGACAAAACATAAACATTGGAATGAAGTGTGAAGTCAGTAAAGTTAGACTTACTAAGATAGCAAATGGGCAGAGATTATTGCTTTCATCCTACCTCTCAGGAGTGCCTTAAGACATTGATCTTGGCCATAGTATGCAGCCTCATGAAGAGGAATCCATCCATATTGGTTTGGTATGAGAACATTGCAGTCTGGCTTTTTGATGATTTGCCGTAAGGTTCCCACGTCTCCAACTCGAATAGCCTTCACAATAGGATCCTCTTCTCTATCAGCAAGTGTAAAGCAAGACATGAAACTTCAGAGAACCCAGATGAAATGAGACTCAGAACAAAGTGACTAGCAGAACAGGTTTACTTTCATGAAGTATGAAGATCTACATGTCTAAGTTCAGAGAAGTTTTCAGAGGTCAGTATACTCACACTTCAGCCTCTGGCTTCACTTCTACCAGCGTACCATCGTATCTGCGATATGCGACCATTCGTTTGCCATTGCCGGTGACAAAGTGACTAACTATGAGAGGAATCTGTTGGTTATGCATGTCCCTATGAACAGAAAAGTGTGTGCTTTATTAAAACATATTAGATTCATAATGTATAGAAACTATAGTAAAAGACTATTGTAATCAACCACTTGAGAAAACAGGTGTCTGTAGTTTACAGTAGGTCACACTGTGTCCTAAACCACACCAGAGACATTCTGAAGGAGGAGATGGGTCACTCATTGAAAAATGAATGGAAAAGCTCATAATGCTCAACATGCCTGTTTTTCAATATAAAAGCCAGTTCTCTTGCTGGTTAAAGTGTAAGTGGGAAAAGCATTGCGTTGTGGAGATATGCAGATAGCACATATGCAGTAGCCAGAACAATTTAATAAGCATATTTTTTGCATTATTTGAGCCAAATAGGTACAAAATGTTTGCACTGTTTACGTCAGATTTTGCCAGTGATTACATTTTTGATTGTAATGTAAGTGTAAATTTGCAGTTTCTCCCAAATCAGCCCTCCTTGTATGACTGAAAAATAACTGCTGGGGGCATTGCCAAGATGGCCGTCAAGTGGACAGACTTTCCTTCGACACATTGACAAGCTTGCACAACCTTAATGAAGATGAAGACCTGGATGAGATCTGAATGCGTTCAGAGACGTTTTGGCCATGTATTCATGGAAAAGATTTAGTTGACTATTGACTATTTGTTGGCAATGTTAGATTAGTAGCTCCCGAGCTAAATTAAGAAAAACAGTTTGGACACTTTGCTGATTGACTACATCTGGAGTAAGTGGAAAATTCTGAAAATTTTATTGTTCACCAAACAACTGCAATTCCGTGTTACTGCTCCGGTGTCACATGCAGCTCTAGCAATGCCTCAAAATTATGGTAAAGTAATCTCTTGTGTTATTTATTTCTTTGTTTTTTTGCATTTTCCATTCCCAACTAATTTTTGAGACGTGACAGTGTCAAGGTTCATATGAAGCATGCAAGCTTATGCAAAGCTCAAAACAAAGTCCAAAAATTTGTAGAAACTTGCTCATTCAACACTTTTTCTGAAATTAGGGGCATTCATAGAGAGTTTGTCCTCAGTCAGACTCTACTCTTCTGGGAAGTCTTTACACTAGATGTTGTAACACTGCTGTGAGGATTTGACTGCATTCAGCCATGAAAGCATTAGTGAGGTCACTGATGTTGGATGATTAGTTCTGCATCACAAATGCCACTAAACTCATTCCAAAGATTTTGGATGGAGCTCCATCACTTCAGAGAGCCAAGTTCCTCTGCTCCACAGCCTGATGCTGTGGGGGCCTTATACTAGTCTAGCTGATGCTTGGCTTTCAGTGCAGTGACTTTAGGTTCATGAGCAGCTACTCCAGTGTCCCATTCTATTAGCCATATAGTTTTTATGGAGACTATAAAGGCTGTGTGTGCATAATTTAAAGTCTGTGTCAACAAGAGTGCACCCTAGTTATGTGTTGTTCATGAACAAGTTGGCTTTTTGAGGCAACTTTTTTAGGTGAATGCTGGGAGCCAACTCACAGTAAGAAGTCAACTTGCATTGAGAAGCCTTTTTTTTTAATAATAACAATAAATAATTAAGACAAACCAAATGGGTAGATCATATGACAAATCAAAAATCCTTTTCCTGGATTTCCTTGGAACATTCTCTCTCTCTTTATCCCCAAACCTGCTGGGGAAACTACTTTTTAACATTGACACATCCTATTTTTTAAATAACAGACATCATATGATGTATTACTTTTTGACAATGTCTATTTTTGTTTGCCATTTCATGTACAATTTACTCCACAGCCTTAAATGTCAGAGATCTTTCCCATGCTGAAGGTGAATATGAGTTGTTCAGCACCTTAGCAAGCTCATCACTTACTATAATTTACTTATTTATATTGCATTTTATATTAACTGTGCACAGCAGTACAGAAACAGAAGCTATTGTAACAGTATGGCTGCTAAAATGCTCCTGAGCAAAACTGCAAACAATTTTTACAACTGATTGGCCATAATCAGAAGGATTTGAAAGGGTTTGTTCTAGGGTTACTTAAAGTGTGCTTTAAGCACAATGGAATTCCAGCTGAGTGGATCAGGGGCAGAGCAGAAGGTTGTGCTTCTATTTTTCTCCTTGGTGGCATGTGAACTCTGGGGATTGGTCCAACTGGAGTTCATGCTAATGAGTATTTTATGTTGGTTGTTAGGGGTCCCATACCCACGATGTACGGGGACAGGTGCAATGCACATGGCTTGCTGATGTCCAGTCAGTGGAGCAGGTGTCGGGTGTCTGTAAGTGACACCTCTTTCTGCCAGCTAGCATTTAGTGGACAAGTGAGTACTGCGTCAGATAAACTCTAGGTGAGGGTAAACTGCAGACTCACTTTGGCTTATAGTTGTTTAGGAACACACTTCTCAATGTTAAACATTATTAATTCTACCTGTATCTCATACTGTTTAAAATTGTACAGTTAAATAATGACTAAATTAGACAAGGGGTTGCAGCAAAAGATTATATTTTTCAATTAGATTTTTGGAATAACTTGATAAACCTTAAAGTCCATTGAATCACAAGTAACAAAATATATTCTCTTATCTTGTCCCACATTTTACTTATTTCACACTGTGTTTTAGTGTTTTAGCTTAGATCTCTCATTTAAATGGAATTAAATACTAGGCCTAATTATTAGTCTCTTTATAAATCTAACTTTGTAACTTTGCACTCAGAAACAGAATTGTATTATTCAGGATTTTGCTGTGGGTCTTTAGGGAGACACAGATTGCAGCCAGTCTATTCAGTTTCTTGCTCGTTCTTAAAACAATGGATTTTTGGTAAAAGATTTACACATGTAATTTAGCAACAACGGAATATTACATAAAAGATTTTTGATGCTAATAGACCACTGTTTGCCTCGAATTGCTCTTTAAATTACTTTCATTACAGTTAATTTAGCTAACAATAATCATTAAGATGCAAACAAAGTAATTCATAGTAGTTTTTATGTGAAATGCATTATTTTAGACAAACCTCAGAAGTCAGAATTGTTAATAATCATGATAGTAACCAGACATCCGAAGCATTTAATGCTGCTAAAACCTACATCATATAAAGGTATTAGATCAAATGATTATGAATACATTGCCTGATGCCTGAGACATTGTTTTCCAAAAGTTGCACAATAAGGTTTTGGCCTAAAACATGTTTTTAGAAGCCACTTGTGGTGGAGAGCACTGTATGGAAATCCCACTATTTTACCATAATCAACATTACATATAAAACATGTATACGTTCACTGGTAATTTTGGACAGTAAATAAAAGGGCTATATTTGCATTGTATTCATGGCAGCCCCTGGTTCCTAACACCACCACTGTAAAGAAATCTGACTTGGCAGATTGTTCAGCAATGCACTGTTTCATTTCAAACCATTCTGAATGACTCTGCTGACATCTCAATGATTCAATCATGCAGAAAGTTTGAGAATGAGTGGAATTCTTGTTTATTTTGCCATTAGCATTAGCTCCTGGCAGTAACATCCTGTGCCGTGATTCAGTTAAGTTAAATCTGCGTCTAACTTTTTATCAAACCTGCTAATTGCTTAAACACAGAAGTCAAGCTGTCCCCTTAGATTAGCTAAAATGAGCTAAAAAAGCACTATGGCTTTCTTAATCTAACCCTTCAGTTGCTGTCCTGCAGTCAAAATTTCACATGTATATGGTTATGCTGACACATTTCATATTAAACACTGGCATGGGCATGATGCTGTTACTGTTCAAAGAGTATGACAATGTTTTGTTAGTTTTTCATCTGCTATTGTTTTCTGCTTTCACTATTGTCCCCTTCACCCCACTGTACCTGGGCGGGTTTGCAGGGCATGGCTCTGGAGTAGGCCGCCGTGGCTGCTGCACAGCCGCTGGAGGTGATGGTTGAGGTGGGCGTGCAATTACTGGAGTTGGCCTGCTCGTGGGGATGGAGGTCTTTGTGGTTTCACTTCTGGAGGTAGAGCTTTGGGAATCTGTGAGGCTGCGCTCGATTGCTAGCTGCATGAGCTCATCATCAGACAGGTTACTGTAGAGACTGTAGTCATCAAAGCCCAGGCTGGTGTCCGTGGACCCTGGCATAGACACACTGGCAGCCGCCATAGTAGGTTTCTGCACCCTAAAATGTCACCAGTACAAGGAATTTACTATTTATCTATTTTGTATGGTGAACTTGGTGGAACTGTCCTTTTTAGCTCTACCTACAAATGTGTTCTTTCATATCAGCTGTTGTGATGTTGGACAAGATTTTCATTAGCACTCATCGAAGTTTTGTTCAACCTAATAAGAAACATTAGTGTACAACTTTCTTCATAATACCTAAAAATGTTGATGAAAAATGTTGATTGAAATGAAAGACAACACTGGTTATACTGTTATACTGTATCTAACTTTGCCTCTGCTGCAAAAGGAACCTAGATATGTACTAATTACACTTGATGCGTAGGCTATGGAAACATGCAGTGATTCTTGGAATCATGATGAATACTGAACAGTTCACACCTCATTATTGGCCTCCTATAACGACATTTACCCACCTAGGAGGGTGTGAGCTTTAAGCAAATTCTGCCGTGACTCACAAACCAGCTGTATGTCCTGTCATCCTCTCAGCTCATTGTTGATTAGCTTGTAGAAAAATGCTAGGTGCTCACATTCTGTCTGCATGTGACTGATGCCTTGGATTGCAAAGCATCTTTCTATACTAATAGAGAGAGACAGTACTTCTATGTTACTGGGCTCCTGATGGCAAATGGCAGTTGTTGGGAATCTGCTGTCGTAAGAGAACATCACATCTTAGACAGAGAAACTTTCTTGATTTAATTTTGAATTGTTTTTATGTTTTTGTCCATCCTCTCACTAGAGTACCCAGCACAACCCCAAGTATCCACCCCAAAATATGTGTAGTCTTTCAAATTGCCCTTTACCTTAAAGGTGCATCATCAAAAGGGTTTTCCTACTCTTTAAATCAGGAAATCTCTGAGACTCTAGAGACTACTGCAGCAGTGCTGTAAGAGATAAGTGAGACAGAAGTAGCAATGTAGGTAATTTATTTTATTTTTTTGGCTGGAGTGTCCCGTAAACATTTATAACAAATGCATAAAAAGGGTAACAGTGACCTGTTAAATTTGATGAATATGAATTTTTGATGAAGCTGACAGGCGTAATGCTGGCTGATGGGAAAAAAGTAATCAGCAGTATTGTGAGGTTAAGCAGTATGGGCTCACTAATCACTGTTGCCATTTTTAATTAGTGTTGTAATCGCTTGTAAAAGATTTTAGGTGTTTATGATCTCATAACTATCAATATGAAATGTTCATAAAGACATTATAAAAGTAGTCTTATTGTAAAGTGGTAGCGTAAAACTTATAATAAAGATGCAGTACAGATAACTAACAACAATTTTAAAGATAATTCATAAACAACCTTTGGATTTTCCTATATGCAGGCTCTAAAACATTCTGCACATTTTCATCTGCTATTCAATAGTTCGAATATACTCTTTCTTGTACGTCTAAAGTCTGCTAGTCTGCTTTTTTTCAAATTTCTCAAAGTTTTTGTTAAACTTGCGGTGGCTGTGCAAGCAGCCTGCTGAAGGTCACTGGGTCATGGTGATTTTGCAATGTGTTTTCGAAAGTCATGCGTGTGGAGTATTGTGTCTGACCTAGCTGTCTAGCTGAAAGAGTGTCGAGGTCAAGGCAGAATGTGCTTATCTATCCTTCAATGTATAAATAGAACTCTGCACCAAGCAACTCTGTGGGAACATTGCATGGCCCAACTCTCTTTTCTTACCATCGTATCACAATTTTTAAAATACAGAAATACATACAAATAAACAATAGAATTGGAGAGCAACTAGCAAAGAATGATAATTGGAATCTTACATGTGATTCAAATATTTAGTCTATTTCTAAGGTGCCCATGCAAATTGTATCTAATTACATATAAAATGCAAAATATGTCACTGCTGCACCAATAAAAAGAATTTAAAATGGTAGGATTGATTAACAACGTTTCCATACAGCACATTATCAAAGACCTCAGAATGAATGAAATCAAAGCATGCCATGAAAGTAGATATACCATAGCACGGTACTACAGTATGCAAAAAAACCTTGACACTTACCTTTTTTTAAAAAATGCTAGTTTAGGTTTCAGTAAGAAAAAGAAGAAAGACGCTTTTACACTTGCTTTAGCTAAGCTCGCTGTAGTCCTCTGCCAAAAGAGGCCCCTATCTCTGTAGCCTCTCCACACTGTTTATAGTAGGCTACATGTCTAGAGAGTGCACATGATCTAGGGAGAGTGTTTGCCAGCCTCTTAGCTCGGGTTGCTCCTGAGAGATAGTTGGCCTAGAATTTAAAGAGGAACCACAAGGATCCACACTGTTGCAATAGAAGTGCATATGGAAATCCCATGGCAGGCGACCAGGAGAGCAAGAATTTCAAAGCTAAAGCAATTGTTAGGCCGCTTTCATTGTGTCAAGTTACAGAAGAGCCAAAGCAACAAGACAAGTGAGACATGAAATAGTGTGAATACTTGCTCCTTATTTATAGACAGACATATCATGCTACAGCTGGGGAAGAGGTTATGAGCAAGGTTATGAACTCTTTTTCTTTGTTTACAGGTCTAACTGCTGCAAACAGTTGCTTTAATTTAAGAGTGAGCATACAGGTCATCCTAGGTCAGTGAGAAAGAAAGTGTATGTAAAGAAGAGACTTCTTTTCAATTGCTTTCATTTAAGGGTAAATGTACAAGTCAGTCTAGGTCAACAAAAAGAGCTTATGTGAATAAGAAAGATTATATAAATATTAAGGTTATAATTCTATTCACTTTGCAGTTGCTTCATCCTGCCATTTACTTGTAGCAAGCTAACCTCATATGACCCTGCAATGGAATTATTATTCCCCTGGCTGACATATTCAGATTCTGGATGGCCTTCAGGGTTTAATTTGTCTTGTTAGAGGTCCATCAGTTCATTTAGTTGTCACTGAATGAGTCTTGTTTTTTGCTTTGCAGACAAAATCAAGTACACTCTTAACCTCTTAATAGGGGTACTTTAAGGGTTCTTGAGTAAAAGCAATGGTCAAATATCAAACCATCACAACTTAAATAACCATTTGAATGCTTACATAATTCTTGCAGTTTAAGAAATGTCTTTTTATGTGTGCTACTTATGTCTACAGTTTCCTCCACATGTTTATAATGCTTACTTATTATATTCTCTACTATATCTGTTATTATTATTATTATTATTATTATTATTATTATTATTATTATTGTTGTTGTTGTTGTTGTTGTTGCTGTTGTATATATATATGTATACAAGGCTGTCTAAAAAAGAATGGAAGTGCACAGTTCAACTATTCCCTGTATAAGCTCAATAATAATAATAATTAATTCATTATTGTGTGTAATATGTATGTATAGTTATTTAAAAAAGGTTCTATTTAGCACCAAAAAGGGTTTCAATATCATTACAAGTCATAGTGCATAGATTGTTGACATTTTTCAAACTTTCCACAAAAATAACTATTTCAAAAGCATTGAAAGTTGATATGCCTCTTAATGTCATATGATAACAACAGTGTAGTGAGGGAAGCTATCTTTCCAGTACACATCTTACCTAACTGTCTGAATTAAATTATGACCTAGTTAATCATAGAGCACATCCAACCACAGCAAAAAACACACACACACAGACCTCATGAGATCAACAGATCCTCTTTCCTGATGGCCTGTCTGTTAAAGGATGCAATCGAATATACATCGAGGAAAATAAGATTTTGTTGTATGTAAACACGCACTGTCCCACAGGAGAGCAAAGCTGACCATTAATCCCCATGTGGTTTTCATCTCATCAGGAATATAGACTGCGTCTTAAGGTAATTAAAGGAAACAGCAACACCCCCATGCACTCAGACAGCTCAGGTTTCAGTGGTGTCATGCAGAGGGCAATGTAATAAATCCCTAACGGATTTTTCTAGAGGCTGTGTTTCACAATCAAACCAGTGGTTGAATTAACACATCAGGATGATGGCTGTTCAGAATGTATGATTTTATTTTTGCTTGTGCGCACATATACACTCAGCACATGATTTTGAAGGGCAAATATGCTATAAGTAAATAAAGAGAATTAACACTGTTAAAAATACAGGTGCCAGAAAAGGTTTTTTGCATGACGCTACACTGTTAGAAATAAATGTTCTGTGCAGATACATTTTTCTTTCATTAAGGTACAAACAAGGTAAATGTTCCCTCAAAGCTACAACAGTGGTTTTAAGGTCCAACTGTGTTCCTTAAATAAGTTTTTCCCAGGCAAAAAGTATGTGTTTGGGACTTTTTAAATAACCTAATGTTTTAAAATAGAACAGTAAAATAAAAAGCCTGGAGACGAAGCGGGGTAGGTGGAGTCAACCCAACTTGGAAAATATAATTTCAATGGATTATGGTACAGTTCTGTTCCCTGGCTAAAGGTACTAAGGTGTACCCCTGAGGGTACCACCCCAGTAATAAGAGGGGTACTGCCCCAGTGACAGCTTTGTATGTAGAAGGTCATTTATAGCCTTAAAAACTAGTAGCAGAACTTTAAAATGTATCCTGAAGAACAGATTGTGATTAGACTTGTGAAAAGCAAAGAACGTAATGTGGCCAAACTTCAGAGTTTGAAGAAAACCCACTGAAAAAACTATACAGTAGCATGTATGATTGCCTTACCTTGCCTTTTAAAGCTTGAAAACTTTAAATGCTTAGTGGACTAAATGAATTCAAAGTAATGTAACTAAACAGAACTATTTACTTATGCAGTATATGCAAGCGGAGAGAAATCGCGTTTTAAAATTTTATTTTATTTAAACAATCACAAAAGTATCACAACCATCGTCTATCATTGCTATCAATGCAACATATCTATCATTACCATGTACAATATTATACAATTATAATACAGAGTTCCATCATCTTAAACACTTTATGTACATGTTTACATTAACAAAGTGAGCAAGAACAGTTTTACTTATGCAACACTGTTATGTAATTCTATTTTCAGCATGCTTGGTCTAAATTTTCCACACCAACCCAGAAATAGCAATGTCAGGCAGAGAAGTAAAATATGCTAAAGGTACGGAATTGATCAGTCAGTCCTGAACAGTAAATCACTAGACTAAAGAAATAGGGACATGCCGTTAAATTTTGGGTGACCATAAAAATACATGCACAATTGTTCAAAAGACTGTTAAAGTAAAGAAAAGACTATTTTGGCTATCTAAGATAATTTTACCTAATCAATTCACAGGACACCCTCAAATGATTCCCGCTCATGCTTTAAGAACTTGATCAGTCTCCCAGGTAGAGGAAGACTGCTGATTTGCCTCAGTCTATCAATTCCCAGTTGCTGACGAATCTTTAGTCTGCAAAGATGCATCAAGGAGCGAGGAGGCTCTGTAGAGACAATACGATTTAATTCAAATTCTTTTACAAATCTCATCTTATCTTATCTTAATTTTGGAGCATTTCTTTTGCTCAATTCATCATAAAATTAACACAGTGTATAGAGCAGATGGAAATTTAAAATCTATGAAAAATAAAAAGACATAAGTTGAGAGACACTATTTTGTTCAGAAAGCGACAAATTGCAGAATTACAGATTGTGAAATACTCACTTGACTTCTCTTTAATGTGGGCCCACTCGCTGTAACTGTCTAGGTGCTCAGTGAGTCTGGAACACAGTTTCACATGACCTACATAGTCCAGCAGAACATCTATGATGGGTCCTGCCCAACAGCTGATTGAGGGGCCGGAGATCATCTCACAGAACTGTTGGTTAATTAAAAAAATGTTGTTCAGAGCTGTTTACTTCAACATATTCACTTGATTTTAACAAAGGAGACTATATTCACTGGGAGACAAAATCACTATTTTACCTGTACAGTGCCTTCTGACAGTTCATCAATGATGTAATATATCCCCTCTCTTCCACTTCTTCTGTTTTTGATGGGTGGATGAGGATTACTGCCATAATCACACTTAAAACATGAAAGGGCATTACAACCGTTGTCCATTAGGTACTTAAACATTGCCAGATACTTCATACAGAAAAGCAAAGTGGCTGGGAAGCTGGTGGGGTGTGTTGGGAGAATAGCATTAACATTAGCACCATGTTTGATCAGCAGCGTGACCATTTCCATACAAGCTTTCCTCACAGCAACAAGCAAAGCATTAAAGATGTCTAAGTTTGGGTTTGCTCCGGCCTCCAGGAGCATTGTGGCTGCCTCAATGTTACTGTTGGCCACAGCAAAGTACAGAGCAGTGCTGCGGCGATCCTCATACATCTTAGACCAGTCTTCTGATAGGGTGGCATTGACATCAAAGCCAGCATCAATCAGGGTCTCAATAACATCATCCCTGTTGCGCTCTGCTGCCAGATGTAGAGGACTGATGCCACATCGTCTTATTTTAGCCCTGCTAGTTCTTGGTATCAGCATGGCCACAATCCTGAGGAAGGAAACAAATGAGGACTTTTGCTTCAAATTCTGTTTGAATATATTTTACCATCATTATATGGCTCAAACCTTGTCACACTAACCCATCATGTCCATTCTTAGCCGCAACATGAATAGGAAGAAGACCAGCTTTGTTACATTTGTTAACATCAGCCCTTCTTGACAGTAGAATCTCCACCACTTCACCATGACCATTCTTAGCGGCTTCAAACAAGGCCGAAGCCCCATCATTAGCTTGAGCGTTGACATCCGCCCCTAGAGAACAACTTCCTAAATGAATGCTGAGAAACTGGCAACGGCCTCCTCCAAGTTTTTTTATTGCATAAAATGACCTTGACTTAATTGGTGTATAATTATTTTCTTGCACATGGTACGTACCTTTCATAAGTAGGAAGCTCAGCACTTCAGAAGCTCCACATTGAGCTGCCGTAAACAGAGGATCTATGCCATAAATGTTTCTAGCCATCAACTTTGCCCCTGCTTGAAGTAGCATTTTGCACATCTCCACGTTTTTGTGCCGTGCTGCTTCATGTAGTGGTGTTCCACCTTGCACACAGGACTTTGTTATTGTTGCTCCATATCTTATAAGAAGGCCCACAGCTTCGTCAAAGCCTTTTTCACAAGCTATAAAAACAAGCAATGTGTTGGCACAGCGGCTTGAAGGCATATTCACCCAAATCAGTCTAGTAACTAGAATGCTTTATCTAAGTGTATTTATCACAATTTCTAAATGAATAAATCATTAAAATTGTTATTCAGATTGGTTTGTATCATATCAAAATGTATCATATTAAAATAAATTATTTGAGTCAGATTCTATCAGAATCTGTTTGTAATGGTGAACCAGAAGTCTGTAAGCTATCTCACAGAAAGTTATTATAGTAAATGGTTACTGGTTATGCTGATGCCTGACACATTGTTTGAGGTATGTTTTATGCATAAAATGTTTTGTAAAATGTTAAAATAAAATAGATGGAAAAGAGGTTCTTGCACAGCATTAGACTTTTTTTTTTTTAAGTTTCAGTGATCACTTCGGATAGCATCATTTTGGTTCCCATCAGCACCACTATAAGTACATCTGAGTTGGTAAGTTTCTCTACAAAGAACCTCTCATATCAAACCACTATGCATTGACTTTATTTACATACTCAACAAGAGAATTATGTGTCTTCCAACGCACATTTACCTTTGTATAATGGAGTCTCCCACTGGTTATTTGCGAGATTGGGATCAGCACCCTTCTCTAAGAGGTAGTCAACACAAGACAAATGCTTGCGGCTCACAGCCAAAAGAAGTGGGGTCTGGTTCTTGAGAGTGCGACAGTTAATGGTCTGCGGTTCAGCTAAAGATGTCAGATACAAGATATACATACACATCAATAACTAATGAACCTTCTGCGATAGTTTACTACAGCAATGATCTCTAGCTGATTTCTCACCTCTCAACAAAACCTTCAGACACTCAAGATGGCCATAGTATGCAGACTCATGAAGGGGTATCCATCCATCTTTATTAGCTTCAGTGAGGTTTCTAGATTTCAGTAGTATTATATCTCTTAAAGCTTTGGCATCACCCTTCCAGATAGCTGAGAGAAAAGGGTCTAAATTCCTGAAAGATGAAATTCAGAAAACATACTGAAAATCACCAACCAAGCCTTTGAATAAATATGACTGGGTAAGATACGCTAATGGCCCTTTTAAGCATAGGTTTAAGACCACAGCATTTGTAGGCATCAATCTCTCTGCTAGTGAAGTTACTCACTTGATAGATTCTACAGTAACCCTCAGGAATCCATTGTGTCTTGTCCAAGCAACCACTTGATCCTTGTTTTTACTGAAGTAATGATTTTGAGCATCTCTGTTGATTTTTGCACTCTGTTTTTCACTGTAACAATAATGATTTCATTAAATTACATGGAAATGTTTGAAAAAATAGACTTCACGAAAAAAAAATATGCTAGGTGTGTGTCAGTGTATATTTTTTGGTGTAAAGTTACTTAGGAGGGTTTGCAGACAGGCGGTCTGGTGGGTTAGCAGGTGGGTTAGCTGGCGGGTTTGCAGGGGGAGGGATAGCCTGAGGCTGCCGGACACGTGAGTACCGGTCCTGTGTCAGCGTGTTGGAGCGGAATGCTTGATTACGTCTCGGTGTCAAATTTGCCTCAGCTAGACTTTGCTCGATAGCCAACTGCAGGAGTTGCTCATCAGACATGTTTGAGTAAGCACTGTAGTCTTCTGCCTCCACAGCTGTGCTGCTCAGGTTAGGCGCCGACACCCTGGCTGCTGCCATGATCAACCTGAGGAAGGAAAGTGACTGAAAAATGTGGTACATCACTGCAAATCCACATGTTCATGTACTGCATTACATGAGAAGAGAACAAAAGGATAGAAATAATGAGTAAACAACAAAAGTAAAACTGGCTGGTGAATGGTATGTCCTGTGTATTTTGCATACTATAAATTTGCAGTTATTGTATGATACACTCTCAAAAAAATTCAAAACACCATCACTGTTCATCATACCTTCAAGGGTTTCATGACTCCATACCCTTATCTTAAGCTTTTTAAACTATTTTTCTGTTTAAAAAGAGTTAAGAGAAGAAAATAATGAAAGAGTGATTGACATGAATCTCAGAAGCACTATTTCCCCTGTCAAATGCAGGAAATACTCAAACATTCAAAACACGTGTGACAGGCAGCTCTACGCTGAGCAATTTTTTTTCTTGGTTACTGTACTTGCTATAAACCCTTTTAATATGTTGTCAAACTATATCGCTTGCTCTGACTAGGTCCAGCCTTGGCATTAGCATTCACTCATCTGAAGGAGCAGCTTTCATAGGTTAAACCTTTGCCTTTTAGACAGGAAAACCTGCTCCCTTGACATTCAGTCACTGAAAGGTTTCCTTGGTTTAATTAATGTAAACATGATTTTCTAGAATCCTTTTTGCTACATTCATATTTTTGTTAATTCTCAAACATCTATGTCTGCACTGAAGATCTTGTAAAGCCAGTTTATTTAGTCTGTTAGTACAAGTGCTACAGATGCTAACAGCTGCACTGAGCGAAAGTGAATAAGGGAGGCCAACAGTCAAATTGAACCTTAGGCGTGCTGTGAACTAAACTGAAAGTTGCATGACCTTCAAGAAACTAAATTGCACTTGAGCAACATAATGTAAAGTGTCCTTGAATTCCTTGAAACTCCTCAAACCTCAAAAAGCTACAACATTTTTACCCGTCTCAACTTCATGGAAAAAGTTTTGTGAAACGGCAAATCAAATGAGTGATAACAAGATATGTTCAAATGACTGATTTTACCAGATCAATGGACAAGAAAATAAAACAGAAAACAGCAAATGTGAGATTCTGAAGAGTAACCTTTCTGTGAACAGCTGCATTAACTAGCTGACTAATGCTAACAGCTGTTTAAATGGCTGCTTGTGTTAGCATTTATTCTTCTTTGTTAGCCTGATGTTATTGTGGTTTACATGATTTAGCTAGGTTCATTTTCTCCTCTTTTGATGGCTGTAAATTTACACAGAGATCAGTTTCATTTGGAGTTCACCATGTGAAAATGAATACAAAAGAGGACACAAAAGTGTGCTTGTAATCTTGTGCTTCCAGGACAGGATAAGCAAGGCATTATAACCATAATGGTTACCTGAAAAGGGTTAACATACACTCAAATATATAGTAAAGAAACTTAGATGGATAAATACAAGATACGTAATCAAATGTGTTATGTGCAACTGTCAAAAATGTGTAACTGTCAAGTTGCACATAGATTATATTGCAGAAGTAGTTGCATCAAAGTTTTGTCATGTGAAGCCAGGCTTAAAGACCATGTTGTACTTTTAGGGAGTATTTACACTATTTGTACCTTGGAGAACAAAAAATCTACCTTTACAGTACTTTTTTTCTGACAGTGTATAGCTACAGCATTATTTAGCTTCTTAATATGCTTTGTTTTCATGTATATAATCAACAGAAAACTTGATCAAGATTTGGACTTAGGCCAAAATTCTCTTTTGCCAGACATGAAAAAGGTCTTACACTGCCTTTCTTGTTACAGAACAATAATAAAATAATAATAATAATAATCATAATAATAATAATGATAATAATAATAATCATCATCATCATCATCATCACCATCATCATTCTTCTTCTTATTATTATTATCATTATTATTATTATTATGCAATTAAAATATTACTATCTGATATCTATTCTTTTTTCATACAGTCAAATGGTTTAAATTAGGTCTTTTAATTTGTTCCATTGCACAATAATAAACAAAATTGTGACAAGATCACGCATATCAGACTTGCATGCAAACACAGGAATGTTTTTATATGCATCATATTATTTAAGGAACAGTTTTGCAAAACAACATTTGTGATTTTCATAAGTTGAACAGAAATTGCCTGGTATAGTTATTTCAGTATTTTCACAGTGTAGCGATGCCATTTTTCACATTGTAGGAACTGCGGTCAGTATAATTTACGTGTGTGCTGAACACTAATGCTATTAAATTGCCTACCTACCTTTCTAAATATCAAAGTCCTGCTCTTTATGAAGTCTCCCCTCGAGTGCGCTCCAGGGCTCTGTGTACATTCCTTAAGTGCTGCGGTGAGAGAGAGTTTGATTTCATGGTATAAACAAACATGTGACCTCACAGATATCTTTAGCTTGTCTGGCCTGGATTTGGAGGGGGGTTGTTAGCAGGAGATACTGTGGAATGAACTACAGACATGCTTGCACAAGGCTTATTTACAGGTGATTAAGAGTAAACAGACAGAAAAAAATAGACCTACAAGAGAAAAGGAGTTCTCTGTAAAAGTGTTTCGGAAGTGTCTCACTAGTCTGCTCTTGTGTCATGCCTTTAAGTTTGCAAAATAAATCTTTATTTGTTTTGGCCACTTGAGGCAAATGAAACCCTACATATGAGTTGGCATTCATGTTTTACATTTTTTAATAGAAATAAATATATTAAATGAATACTTTGTAAACTGATTGTGTGCCATGTTTTGCAAGATACTCCATTCTTTAAGAAACTCTGAATATTTAGTTCAATATTATGCTGATATAGCATCACAGAGGGTTCTTTATAGAAGTGAATTAGTTCTAAGCTGTAGTATTGACCATTTGGATGTCATGCCTTAGGCAACTTAAGGTCATCAGCACTGCAAGCAACTGTCTTGAAGTTTCACATATTTACAGGAACAGTACTTCAATGTCTGTAACTGAAACTTTATTAGCTGTGGCTATTAAATGACCCACACAGTTCCAGTGCTGGCTAACTGTTAAGGTTGTGGGTCAGCGTTACTTGCATTTACACAAAACAGTTTAGCAGATGCTTTAATCTATATCAGTTTATAATGGCTTCTGGAGGTAAAGATACAAGACAAGTAGCCCAGTTCATGCAAAGGTTGTTTCCTGTATTAGTCTGGAGAAACCTTGTATTATACTGTATTAATGCATTTAAAATATGTAACAGTGGTCCATCAAAGGGCAGTCTCTAGTGCTAATGCTACAGCCTGTAGGAACTAGTTCAGTCTTAACCCAGTCAAAAAATCCAAAGCAGATACTTTGATTGTGTGAGCATTTTAACTGTGACATCTAAGCTAAGAAAATAATGTCCTCTGGATGGCATTTAGTATTTAAGGTAATGAATGTCTTTTCTGATGTCCTTAGATGTTCACAGGATAACTTTCTTTCCTTTCTTTGTTTTCCCCTCTCCCTTTCACACAAAATGCTACTTTGGGATGCCTAAAACATAAAGTTACAGTTAAGGATTTTGCTGTAACCCATGCTAATTTATCATTTGAATTCCATATACTGTTAATACTGCCTACTTTTTATATTAATTGAAGTATACTAATTCACACTGTTTCGGAATGGGATGTCTACCAAGCTTATATAAGTGTGATGGTCAGGTGTCCACAAACATTTCTGAATCACACTATATATAAATACACATGCTAACCCTTCAAGATGTTAAAGAAATGTTTTGATGCTTTCATAAATTCTTGATTAGACAACTGTAAAATGTTGGCCTGTGGACATACTCAAGGTCTTGCTCAGGTCCTTAATGGTCCAGCTTCAGTATATCTTGCGGAACCTTGCTTGAAGACCACCTAATGCTGAGGCAGGCTTACTGCATACTCCTACACTCACTCACAGATGGTGGAAAGTGCTTTTCTTATGGAATTTCATCTTTCCAATGCTTTACTTAGTGTCTTATACATAGAGGCGGGTAATCCAGATACAAAAGGTAAAAACCCTCCCCAGAGTTTCTAACTTCCTGGCTTCTCTAGTTTGCTCAAACCAGCAGCAAGGTGTTCAGGCAGTTTGAACAAAATCCCAGGGAGGGTTTTTAATTTCCGGATCTGGATTACCCACCTCTATGAAGATCAGCAGTCTCCTTGGACATTTTGCCCTATTGAAAAAAAATCAGCATGGTTCTAATCTAAATCACTCGTGCAAGTATCAAAATCATAAAAAAACATAGTATACATCAGTGGTATACAAACTGAACAAGTCAAAAATATTCAAAAATGAGTTGGAGAAACCTTTTGTAAAATATTCCTCAAGTAAAAATACACAGACATACACAGCAGTGGTACAAAGCCTCAACCAGCACAAGATATGAAAGGTTACACTCATCTGATATTTTTCGATGCATGAAGCAGTAGTTTTCAGCTTTAGTATGGGCAAGTGATAAACCAGTTAGCCGACTAAAAGATGTGCTGTAATTGTTTTGCTTAAATGTGAAAGCACATCACAGTCACAGATATTTTGGATAATGTAGTTTTAGTTTTGAGTAACGAGCAACAACACATTCTGCACAAAACAGTTGAGTGAAAAGTAGAATATTTTACTTTGAAATGTAGTGAACTGAAAGTACAATGTTTCCAAAAATGGAAATTCTATAATAAAGTACAGAACCTTACACTTAGGTACAGACACTTAACTGCAGTAACAAATTACACACTGTATCTGTCCAAAAAAAAGGAAGGTTACAGGAGAAGCAAGGCAAAACTTTCTTTACCTTTAATGTAAGCTGATGTAAAGAGATTTTATTCCCAACAACTTTGAAGCATTTCTATTGGTTCATTTTCACAGAGTGTAAGAGACAACCCCTGTGCTCACATGATGTAGAAAATGAATGGATTTTTTTTTTTTGGCAACGATGACGTTCATCATTACTGTCCCCTGTTGCTTAAAGCATCTCTTTCTGCTGCTTATAGTTCAGGTACTCGATTAGTCTTCTTGGAAGGGTGAGTGTACTGATACACTTCAGCCTTTCTGTACCCACCAGCTGCCGTATCCTTAGTCTGCAAAGCTGCATTAGACATTTTGGTAGAGCTGGAAAGAATACAGAAACAATGTTAGATAGTAGAGCAGCTTTGTTAATGTATATAGCTGTGTATATGTATTTTGCTTGATCAGGTTGGTTATACTCACTTGATTTCTCTTTTATATGCACCCAGGAATCATAGATTTCCAGCTGTTCGTGGAGTCTGGAACAGAGTTTAACATGTCCTACATAGTCTAGAAGGAGGTCTATCATGGGTCCTGCCCAGCGACTCACCATAGGATGAGAGATCATCTCACAGAACTGTCAGTACAGAAGACAAATATATAGTCACTGACCCCTTTATTAGAAACTCCAACCTTGCAGGAGTTTCTCATCTGTTACCATTAATAATTTGTGTCAGTTGTGCTCTAGCCCTTGAGCAATGGTCAGTTTCTGAGCTCAACACCACTGCTGACCAGATGTTATTTGGGTGGCAGGCCACTCTCAACCTAGCAATGACATTGACGTGTGTAAAAACTCCAGCAACATTGCTGTGTCTGATATACCAGCACCACACACACATGACACGTCATGTCACTACCACATCAGTGTTGAGAAGGGCCAAATAATTTCCGGTCAGCACTGAAATCTGACCAATGATGAATAGTGTATACAAAATCTGTGTGACAACAGGTGGGCTACAGTCATTAATTCTCCAAGTATATAATGGAATTGTAAGGTAGACCTTGTAAAGACCTTACAGGGAGTGGAAGTACAACATTGGGTATTTCTAAGTGTCCAATGAGATAAAGTGAAAGATAGGTATTTCTAACAAAGTGGCCAATGAGTGAAAGCACAAGGTGTTTATAATAAAGTGGTAAGTGAGTGAAAGTATAAGGTGAGTGTTTATAATAAAGTGCCTAGTGAGTGGAAGTACAAGGTAGGTGTTTCCAACAAAGTGGCCAGTGAGAGGAGGTACAAGGTAGGTGTTTCTAATGAAGTGGCCAGTATGTAAGTGTTTCTAATAAAGTGGCCAGTAAATAGAAGTACAAGGTAGGTGTTTCCAACAAAGTGGCCAGTGAGAGGAGGTACAAGGTAGGTGTTTCCAATAAAGTGGCCAGTGAGAGGAGGTACAAGGTAGGTGTTTCTAATGAAGTGGCCAGTATGTAAGTGTTTCTAATAAAGTGGCCAGTAAATAGAAGTACAAGGTAGGTGTTTCCAACAAAGTGGCCAGTGAGAGGAGGTACAAGGTAGGTGTTTCTAATGAAGTGGCCAGTAAATAGAAGTACAAGGTAGGTGTTTCCAACAAAGTGGCCAGTGAGAGGAGGTAGAAGGTAGGTGTTTCCAATAAAGTGGCCAGTGAGAGGAGGTACAAGGTAGGTGTTTCTAATGAAGTGACCAGTATGTAAGTGTTTCTAATAAAGTGGCCAGTAAATAGATGTACAAGGTAGATGTTTCCAACAAAGTGGCCAGTGAGAGGAGGTACAAGGTAGGTGTTTCTAATGAAGTGGCCAGTATGTAAGTGTTTCTAATAAAGTGGCCAGTAAATAGATGTACAAGATAGCTGTTTCTAACAAAGTGGCCAGTGAGTGGAAGTACAAGGTAGGTTCTTCTAATGAAGCACATGGTGAGTGTAAAGATGTCCTTGATGACCTATAATATTTCAATAATGCAGATTTTTCATGCTTTTAGGTCAGTATTTCTGTTTAGGTGTTTCTGGTGTTTGTAATAAAGCTCAATGATCTAAAGACATTTGACCACAATTTGTAATTATGAAGGTTTAATTATCTCTTCCTCAACCTTTCCTACCTGCAAACAAGAGTGTGTGGCCATCTGAGGTCTATACTGTAGCTCACAACTGATGTATGCGAAGTCCATATTTGGGTGTTGCTTGAAGCCATATTCACACTGAAAGCATGCTATGGCATCAGCACCATAATCCATCACACATTTTAACATTGTGAGGTTCCTCACACTTAGCATCACACAGGCTGGGAAAGTGGTGGGGTGTGTGGGGATGGAGGCATTAACATTGGCTCCATGCTCCATAAGCAAGGTGGCCATCTCAACATGATCCTTCCTCACAGCCAGCAGAAGTGGGTTGAATGGGTCTAAGTTAGGATCAGCACCAGCCTCCAGAAGCATGGTGGCAGCTTCAATGTTGCTATTGTCAACAGCAAAGTACAGAGCTGTAATGCGACGGTCTTCATACATGCAGGAACGTTTTGGAGCCAGGAGAGCATTTACATCAAAGCCAGCATGGATCAGGAGCTCCAGGATATCATCCTCATCATTTTCAGCTGCAAGATGCAGAGGACTGATGCCACTTTGGTGTATTTTAGTCTTGCTCGTGGTCGGGATCAGCATGGACACAATCCTGAATAGGGGAAGAGATGAGGCAAGACAAACAAAAACAAAAGTTGTTGAACTGCATAAATTATATTAAACATAGGTGACTAATTACTAATTAATGTGTCTGAGCATGATCTACCCATAATTTCCACCCTTCGCAGCCACATGAAGAGGTAAAAGTCCATCCTTCCCAGGCCTATTAGCATCAGCACTCTGAGACAGAAGTAACTCCACAATCTCTATGTGACCATTCCTGCAGGCCTCATACAAAGCTGTAGCACCATCCTTTGCTTCACTGTTTATGTCAACACCTTTGTAAGAACATACACAACAAATTATGGGTGTACATTAGTGCTGTAGGTCTTGAGACTGTAAATTAACAGTCTTGGTCTTGTCATGATGCCAGGGTAAGGTAGAAATAGAAATGCAATGCCTCTGTCTGAGGTAGCTGGAAACTGAACCCATTATTGAAATCATCACTGAATATCAAAAATAACCTCAAGAATAATAAAACAGTGCTTTCTCTACATGATTAAATAAAATCTGTTCACTGCTGGTTGAGGATCTACTTGATCTTTCTGTGATGATTAACAGGGTATTATTTGTTTGTTCATGTTCACTGGCTCCAAAATTGAAACATCCTAATCAGAATCTTATTATTGCTGTGCTTTCAAATGATAATAAAAGTGGATATTGACATTAGGTGGTGACTAAGATATGAATAAGCTTTAGAGAAGAAGGGACAGAGAATAACTTTGTCATCACTTCTCACAAAGTCACAATGCAAAATTGGACTAAGACTATAATATTGAAAAAATTAATAATGTTTTTGGGCTACATACTATTTAATGTTAAATTTTACAAAATAGATTATGAAATATAACATTCTTATTACTATATATCATGTATAATTAATGAAAATGAAGGTATAATGAACTACAAATGAATTTCAGTTTTGTCCACCTTTTTTTCTGAAAAAACTTAATCTGGTCTGGATCTTGACTCGGACTTAACTTTTACAAAGTCTTGGCCTTCTACATATGTCCAGGTCTCTAATATGATTTGGACTTGCCTCTAGTGACCCTGACTACAACACTAGCATCAGAGGCAAACTACTCATCAGAGGACCTCAAACTCAACGCATATTTGTAATAGATTATTTTGTGTGAAGAAAACCTGAATAAATACTACGTTTGGATATTCTACAGTGACACTCTGCACAGAGCAGAGAAAAATGACACCATTAAAAGTGAATAGACAAGATGTGCGCAAACCTTTTTGCTGTGATACTGTGAATGTAACATCAAGGGAGGTGTTACTAAGCAAAATTAAACTAGCTCTAGCATTAGCTTATCTGAAGGGGCAGCTTAAATTGGCCTATGTTCTTATTGTTTCCTTTGTACTACTGAGCTTTTTAGCCTGTTAGCAGAAGTGCTATGAATGCCAGGTAGCTTGTGTCCGAAGCTTGATGGACATAGCAACAGTAACTAAAGGCAGCAGGTCTTTCCAAGTTACTAAGGGGGTCAGAACTTTCCAAACAGTCAGCTGCATTTTACAGTAAAACCACAAAGTCTGGTCACCAGGACTATGATTGGGAAACCCTGCTGAAAATGCTAACTCTACTCTGTCAGACTGAATAGAAATGTGTTAAATTACAACAGATAGAACAATTAACATTTTTGAGTGTAGTAACATCAGCAATTTTACAAACCGTTTTTCACCAGGAACTTTAGAACCTCAACACATCCGCATTGGGCTGCCAAGAAAAGAGGGGTCACACCATAGAGGTTGGGAGAGCAGACCATGGCCCCATAATCCACTAGAATCTCACAGATTTCCAGACGGTTCTGTGACACTGCCTCATGTAGAATGGTCCATCCATCCAAACATTTCTGATTGACATCTGCCCCATACTGGACTAGGAGCAGCACCATTTGTACATTGAATGTTGCACAAGCTGAGGGGAGAGAAAAAAATGCTTATTTTTCTTCACGGAATATCATATCATACATATCCATATCATACATAGGTCTGACTAAGCTATAGCAAATGGAGTTACCTTCATACAGGGGGGTTTCATTGGACTTAGTGGGGATGCTGGGGTCTGCTCCATTCTTCAAGAGATATTTCATGCAGGCTAAATGTCCCCTAGATACAGCCAGAATAAGAGGAGTCTGGTTTTTAAGGGTTTTACTGTTGATCATCCATGGGGCAGCTGAAATGATGAGGAGACAAAGAGTCTTGCTTAGCTTTTACCAGTTAAGGCTTTCTGTATGCTCTGGTCACTTAATCACTGTAGTACTCAATATAAGTCACCTTAAGTCTCACAACACTGTCTGGATATGGTACATTTTCACTGTGGAACAGTATTGGTGGTATTCAACCAAAAACAAGGTATGACCTGCTGCACTTGCTGGCATTTCAGTGTTTTTTGGTTATTTGATTGGCTAGAAGAAAATTACTTGAAAATAAACATGACACATGCCAGAGAGGAATTTATGCAACGAAAATTTTATCCATTTCTCCATTGATGGGACAACCCCTCCTTCAGTTATTATAGTATTCTACTTCTGACAGACATATGATCCGATAGGTGTGCCTACACCACTAATACCTCAAAACTTCTCTAAACTTTCCAAATGTTTTCATGTTATATATTTACAGTCCTGTAAACTTCATTGTATATTTCCTGTATATTTCCTATGTTCTAACACAGTGGTTTGCAACTCATCCTGAAACTGTCAAGCCATTTTAAATTCAAATATGTGTTGCAAAAGGTTCCTGTGACTGGCATTTAGAACCACTGAGGTGCTTAACAGTGCTGTTGAGATGTTTAACTGAAGATGCTGAACTCACCTGCAAGCAAAATCGTCAAGCAGTCAATCTGGCCATAATATGCAGCTTCATGCAGCGGGGTCCACCCATCTTTATTTGGTCCCATTAAGCTTCTTGGAGTCATCACAGACATCATGATATCCCTCACTTTCCCTGCATCACCACTCCGTATGGCTTGGATCAATGGGCCCTCATCATCCCTGAAAATCAAAGATGATGCTCCGAGTGCACACTGCTCATTTCTCAGGTTTAGGTTTCGTAGCATTGATTTCTTGGCCTGAACTTAAGAGTGTGACTTGGTTTGCATTTAGACATAATATACCTATTCATATTAAGGGGTCTGCCTCTTGTTTATACATAACAAAGAGAAATAAACTCTAGTTGGTTTGAAAAAATCAATACCTTTTTTTTTCTATTAAACCTTCTTCACTCAGTTATGTTTTAAAGCCTTGAGTCATGGTTGGTCAAAAACAAAACTTACAGGTTAACAAAGTACAAAAAAGCGTTTGCCATGTGACAGACTGTGTTCCATTGCTAGTGCTGCCTCTGACCCTAATGAGCAATTGTTCTATAGATTTGAGCTTTTCTTTCTTTTTTATTATTTTTATTTTTGTAGGTAGTGAGAAAAAGTGGTCTCACTGCCAACAAAACTACTTTACTGAAGGGCAGCATTCATAAAACAAAAAGAGTTCTTTGCCGATACCAGAGAAGCACCACATTTAGTGCTCTAAAGAACCTTCAAATGGATGGTTCTTTAAATAGCCATTTTTGTAAAAGTGTTCATTGTTAAAGAAATTCTTAAGAATGTCCACACAATGTAAAGGTTCTAGAAAAAGCCTTAAATTGCTGTAGAACTGTAGAATATGAGAAGATTTGTTCAAATTTAAAAAGGTTCTTCTCACTCATGTCTCATCAACAATAGTAGTTCTCTAAAAAAACATCTATGGAAAGGTTCTTTAGGGAACCAAATGTGGTTCGTCTATGGTCTATGAAGGTTCAATAAACCTTCAAAGAACCTCACAAATCTATTTTTTTTAAAACATAGTTCTTTAGGAAACCAAAAGTGGTTCTTCTCTAGCATCACTCGAAAAACCCTTTGAGACACTTTTATTTGTTAAGTGAAAAAATGCTGCATCAGCAACCAAACAATAATAACAACAGTACCTCAAAATGCAAAAAGGAACCTGTATGATCTCTTCAGAGTAATATGTCAAAGTCCAAATGATTTCATAAGCTGCTGTGTAGACCCTCAGGAAGGCATGCTGCTATTCTACGCACACCTGTTGCAGAAGCTTACCCATGAGAGCTGGCAGTGGGGGCGACGGGGTGCGGAATGGCCCGAGAGGGAGGGGTCATCCAAGGATAGCTTTGGGGGGATCCTGGGAAGGCCACTGGATGATGGGTCACCTGAGCATCCTGCAGCCTTCGCTCCCCTGCCAGCTGCACCAGCTGCTGCTCAGCCGGTCTTGTAAACACACCGTACTCCCCAACACTCATCTTCTTTTAGCTACAGTCTGACATTCATGTGCAAGTTCATCACATTTTATCATAAATGCATTATGAAAAAACATAATGCTATTGGTACATTTGTGCAATCATGTAGATCACTGATGTCCCAGATTATGTTAGTTGGTACAATAATGCATCCTTTAATATGAATAAGTTGCATATATATATATATATATATATATATATATATATATATATATATATACACTATGGCAAGCCAAACAGGAAATGTTTAATGAACTTTGATATATATTGAACGAACTTTGATATATATGGAATGAACATTGATTTATACACAACAAACATTGATATATATTGAATGAAAGTCACTGTTGAAGGGTTGAGGATGGCCAACAATAACTGTGCATCAATAAATGGGCATTAACAAACTCCAGGTGGAGATTAAAAGAAGGGAATTCTGATAAAGTGACCAGTATGTATACACAGTGATCCCTTGGACAGAGTGATCTGAGAGTGGCTGATATATGAGGTGAAGCTACAGATGGGTGGATCTTCAATATGTACATAATTTGACATGGTGCAGAAGAAGAGTCAGATGAGGCCATAATTTTTGTTTGAAAAATGCTCTTTTATTGAAAGCAAGGGAAAACAGTGCCACTTGAAAACCAACTGAAAATTGAGGTAGGTCACTCCTAGCCCTACTCTTTCTTCTGATGGTCACCAAACACAAACACACTCTCACTAACTCTGAACTGGGCACAAAATAACACAGTAAACACATACACACACTGTAACTGAAGAACAACAATATAACAACATTAAATAACAAGGTAAACAGTCTGTTTAGCAGGTGGGGGAGGGCCAAGGCTACAACACAAAACCCCAAAAGTCACTCTCTGTCTGAACAAAACATTTTATGAATTATATTATTCATTTTTTCACAGTTCATTGAATACATATTAAAGTTCATTAAATATTTCCTGTTTGGCTTGCCATACTATATATATATATAATATAATATATATATATATATATATATATATATATATATCCACTGTATGGATGTATTATTCTACTGAACATTAAAATATCAGTAGTTCTATGTGGATCCATTTCATGCTCAAATGGTTCTTTACATGTTGAAATGCTTCTTCAGATTGATGAAGAATATGCTGCATATGTGTAACGTCCTGCTTTGTTCCGTCCTTGTTTTTCTCTGCTTTAGCCTTGGTTTCCTTGTTTACTTCTGCCATGTGCTTTTGTTTGTTTTGGTTTCCAGCTCTGCCCTTTCGTCACACCCCTCACCTGTGTCTTGTATTTAGACCCTCCCAGTAATTACTCTCAGGTGTTTCTTGTTGATGTTCTAAGTGTTTGTATATATATATATACCCCTTGTTTCAGTCTTGTCTTTGCTTGGTATTAAATGTGAATGAATGAATGTGTGGTTGTTCTGGATTGTTAGCAGATCAGCTTTGTTATGTTGGTTTTCTAGTATTGCCTTGTGGTTCTGTTTCATTTCTTGTTTGTTTCCTCGTGTTCTTGTTTTTTTCTGCCATGGAATCGAATAAAACCAACTTGCACTTGGATCCTGCTTCATCTCCTGCTCACCTTACCTCACAATATGGTTCTATATAGAACCTTTTTGAAAAAGATTCTACACCACCAAAACCAGCACCAAAAAGCGTTCTGCAATACCATATACAAATAACTTCATTAATCTCCATCATATCTCCATCAATCTGAAGAACTATTCCACCATGCAAAGAACCATTTAAGCATGACATGGTTCTATATAGAACAATTGCCTTTACTTTAAACATCTTTAATATGTAATTAGTAAAAACAATCATTTAAAATACACCATTTAATAAAATCATAGTGTATCATCTATTATACTGATAATAAAATGTATCATTTAGCAAAATCTTAACATATATTATGTAAAACTGGTAGTTAAAAATATACCATTTGTGATATACTATACTACTAAGCCTCTTATCTGCTAAATCAATAAGAAATATGAACAATTTACCAAATCCTACCATTATTTCAGTAAAACTGATTATTAAAAATATATTATTCAGCAACATCATAGCATATAAAACATACCATTTAGGAAAATCATTGCACTTAATTTACAAAATGCATATTTTATTTTTATATCATTTGTATTATACCATACATATTCATGCACATGCAAATTTTGTGATTAGGGACATAAAAGGAAACATGAAGAAATCTCTTGCATAACTACCTTTTTAGATGCTACTTGAGTTTCTCAAGCTCCAGTTTTCAGAAGACTGCCTGACTTACTGCCTGCACTGTAGTGTACTGTAGTGCACTGTAGTGCAGCTAAAAGGCTTTTACCCTTGAATATAGTTCACCTCTCTTCTACCCCAGTGACCCACACGCGTTTATGGAATATTTGTCAGAGGGTCTCAGTGACACACAAAATGATGACCACACTCTTTTCCTCACTTCTGAGAAACCGAGCTGGGGGCAGGGTGAAGAAAGCATAGGCTTTCTAAAAGACACAGACATGCGCATGACTACTAACCAGCTAAACCATGATAAAAATTTAATTGCAAATATACTATCAAAGATGCCTCATGATTTGAAGGAGGAACCATACAGATATTTTACTTACTTCAGATAATGCGTTTGAACTCTGTGTGGTTTGCATAGTAAGCATGATATAAGTTTACATAACATGCCATATGACTTTCGTGGAGGGTTTTTTTACTGGCTTAAAATAAACCTGCCCGCTGAGAAGTGTCAAACTAATTACAGACAAAGCACTTACTGTACTTACAAAGTTATGTCCGAAAGTTTGTAGACACCTGTTCACTCAATATTTCATCTGAAATCAAGGGTATTAATAGGGAGGCTTATTTTGCTGTTGTGTTGTTTTCTACTCTTGTGGGAAGGCTTTACTCTAGATGTTAGAACATTGCTGTGAAGATTTGACTGCATTCAGCCACAAGAGCATTAGTGAGGTCAGGTACTGATGTTGGAGGATTAGTTCTGGATCACAATCACTCCAGATCATCCCAAAAATATCACAGAGTTCCACTGCTCCACAGCCCAATGCTGAGGGACTATATACCCCTCTAGCCATGGTTTGGCATTGGGCTTGGTGACCTTAGATGTTGCTGCTCCAGAGTGTCCCATTTTATTAGCAATGTTTTTATGTGTAGATTACACAAGCTGTGAGTGTGCCTGTGTCAGCAATGGGTGCAGATAAAAGTAGCTGAATTGACTAATTAGAAGGGCTGTTTGGATACTTTTGGAAGTGTGTTATTTTCACACCTAGTGCTAGGAGACATGCCAAAATGGTTCTTTGGATCAATATCATAGAAGAACCATTTTGGGGTTTCCTGATGTCCCTTTCAAGGGATAAATCTTTAAAGAACCATTCTGCTAATGTGTCTGTGTGTAGATAAAAACCTTTTTGAAACATGATATAAAGATTCTAAAGCAAGTAAATGTCTGTCTTAGGAGTATACATACATCCACATCCATTTAGGGACAATTATTATGAAAAGATAAATCAAATTCAACTATTATCATTAGACACTGTACTGGGGGTACAGTACAACTAAACATGTTCAAAAGTCAATTAGCTAGCTGAGAACAAACTAGATACTGGCAGATTACCTAGAGCAGTGTTTCTCAACATAGCCTTTGGGACCAAATAGATGTTCCACATTTTCAGTCTAGCTCCATGTATGCAGGTATTCAAGGCAATAGCTTTGCTCAGATGTGTTGGGAGCTGGGAAAGAGTAAAAATGCGAACTCCTAAGAGATGTGAACTGGACTGAGAAACACTTAACCAAAGCAGTGGTTCCTAACACTCACTCTTAAAATTAACGGTGTCAATAAGGGTTTTTGCACAATGCCATCTAAGAACCTAAGAACGATGCCATCTAAGAACATCTAAGAACCATTTCAATGGATGGTTCTTTAGAGAATTGTTTTTCCAGTTAAATTTTGTAATCACTGTTAGTTAACTGAACTGGTCATATAAGTGATTAGTCAGGTGTCAGACCTACCAGTGATTACAAAATCCAGAGCCAGAAACTGGATTCAAGTTCCAGACATGAAGACCTCTTTTCCAGAAAATTATTTAAGAACATTTATGTGATGGTTCTTTGAACCTTTGACCCTTTAAACGGATCATTACATGCACAAATCTCTTTATGAAACTTGGTTCTCTAGGGACGAAACCTTTGTGGAACCTTTTTTTTTAAGGGTGCTGGACCTGGTCCACATTTTTTGAATTTTCCTTGGTCTAACACACCAGATCCCACCAAACAACCAATTAAGAATATTAAAAATACTGAAATGTGCAAAGAAGGGGTCCTCCTAAGAGACTGACAAAAGGGATACACATTCAAATGTTCATGTGCACAAACAGCAGGGGGAGGTAAAGAGATCACAGACACTACAGAAGATCTTGACCCTGGTCCCCAAAACTTTTGAAACACCATTTACCATTATGATTGTTGCAAACCTTATACACAGATTAAACACATGAAATGCTCTGTTCTAGAGAAGCTTAATGATTCAGAATTGTTTATGGTGGTGGTGATAGGAACCACATGTCTGAAGTGTTTAATGCCTCCAAAAGCTCCATCACAGAAAATTATTACACAACTGGTGAGAAACATGCTACCTAATCCTTTGTTTATTGTTTTACTTTAGCCTAAAGTCTAAAGAAAAGTTACTTTTTCAAGTTGTCCACTATTTTACCATCATGAACATTACATATAAAAAGTCAGAGACGTGGAGATTCACTGGTGGTTTTGAACAGTAGAATGACAATAGTTGTATTATAGACATCAAATGCCCTGTTTACAATCAACATAACTGTAAGAAAATCTGGAAGGAGTGTATACATGTCTCTACAATTTACCATTTCACATCAAAACACTCTGAATGACTCAGTTTACATCTCAAGGATTAAATAATGCGGAACTTTTATAAAATTGGTGGAATTCCCCTTTAATCTATGTCTAGGAAACTAGCATATCATCAATCAGTCAATCAATCAATCAGTCGATCAATCAATCAATCAATCAGTCTGTCTGTCTGTCTGATAGTATTGCATAACTGAAAGACGTTACTGGATATCAAGTCTGAAGATTAACAACTGAATAATACGTCTAAAATATGGAGACAGCAGGTGGCGCAATTACACAAAACATGCGCATTTGAAAACACGCTTCATACAGATCTAGTAGTTTGGAGCTACAACAGGTTTAGAGTTTTTATAAACATTTTCAATGCCACAAGGACGTGGGGGCTTTTATAGCTTACAAACAACACAGAAAAGGATTAGCTGAGTTTAGACACAGTGTGACGTATTCTGTCTACACTCTGACCTTGTATTATTGATTACTGAACAAAAATACGTTTACAGTTGGTTAAAACAGAAACTGACTATAACTGTAACTTTCTTCCCATATTCAACTTCTTGCTACTGCCTTATTGGGCTCCACTGCTCTTGATGAACACAATAATAATATTAATAATCTCATGAAGCAGTATTTCTCAGTAAGACAGATATACAGATTTACACCAGAGATAATCAGGAAGCGAACGACCGTTCCTCTTCAACTGTACTTACTTTTGACTTAAAGGGGAATTCCGCCGATTTTTAAAAAAACATTCTGTATAACTCAGCTGCTGAGATGTAAACAAAGTCATTCAGAATGGTTTGATGTGAAATGGTTCACTGAAACAAACTTATCAGTTTGGTTGTCTTTTCAGTGGTGGTGATAGAAACCAGAGGTTAACAATGAAACCACGGGCATTTTATTTACTATACAAAACGACTTGAGTTTTTATAAGTTTGGAGATTTTGGATACTATATTGCCTTTGAACACACTACATACCCGTCTACCATGAATGCATTAAATATATCATTTTAGGCCAAAACTTGATCTCAAAACAATGTATCAGGCACCGTATTCACAACCACTTCATGTAATAACTTTTGGTGAGGGAGCTTTCAGAGGTGGACGTCTGGTTCCCATCACCGCCATTGTGAACAACTCTGATTCCCTAGGTTTCTATACAACGAAACATTTTACACCAAACCACTCTGAACAACTTTGTTTACATCTTAACCTCTCAATTATGGAGAAAGTGTGAAAAATCTGTGGACTTCCCCTTAAAGTTATCCAAGAGAAAACAGCTTTGTGAAACCCCCCACCGAAGTATTTGGCAGTATGGACGTCTCGGTGCATCAGACATCTGTCTGTGTTCCGCTCACACTTGCGTTTGAGTCTGACGTGGTATTTTCGTGCTTGTTTTGGAGTCCAGCAGGACGGCGGACCATCAGCTGATGACGAACTGAATCCGAACGCTGTGACGCTTTCCCCGCTCCTCACTACGGTGGCATGCGGTCTCCATGGAAACCGGTTGAGTTGGTGCAGTGCGTTTGCGTGGTGTGGAGCGGTTTGTTCTGGCTGCACAATTTTACTCATAGCTTAACGTCGGCCAGCGCTCTTTAGATAAGAGCTGTGTGAGATAGATGGCATCCAGTGAGACATTCTGATCACCCTTGGTGTAATGTTAGTAGGTTAGGTTTGGTATTGTGATATTTTTCTGTCACTGAATTGTCGTGAGGACGCTAACGTTAGCTCATATTACCAACTTACTAGGTTGACGTTAGCCTGCTAGCTAGCTTGCGCGAAAAATCTTCGCTAATTAACGGAGTTTATGTAAGAAGTAGCTCTCTGCCAGCTAGTTTGCGGTTTGTCGACGCCTGGAATGTGTTTCCAGTTTGGTCGTTCATACACCACCTGAGCTGAGCGACATTTTCCCCTCCACCTCGAAATGTAACCGTATTTCGAACTTGCTTTTCAAGTAGGGTAGAATAAATGGTATTATACGCTAGTTAACTAGCTAACTAGGACAGTTGATTCGTGTAACGTTAGCAGTAATGGTTTAGCCTGCAGTTAGTCAGGAAAGGCTGTATCCATTTCTCTGTGATAGCCAAACGTCGCCAGCAGCCATTCCCGGTGTGTGCTTATGTATGTGTATGACAGCTGCGGCAATGGGAAGCCTAGCCTCCGTACAGCCAACGATATTCCCCACAAAGTTTAAAACCACTCGTTTGCGGGAATCCCAGCTCTGCGTTGCGTGGTTTGCCAGTGTCATTGCTTTTTCTTTTCTTCCCGATTGGATATGATTAGAGGCTTCTGACACAGCGGAGCATCTCAAGCCAGCCGATGAATTAGTTATAGCCATCTAAGTCTTGGTAACCTGAAGGAGGTTATTTTTTGTCGTGGGAGGAACAGCTTCAGCTTCTCCCCGTCAAAGAAATCATCGTTCAGAGTTAAGAAGCCGCGATCATGACAGAGCTGTAACAACTTCTTCTTCATCACGTCCATAAAGAAGAAACGGAGACCAGATGTTTGTCGGCAAAATGACTCTCAGTCAGTCCGGTCTGTTTGGACAGATAGATGACCTGCAGGACCTCACATTCATCGAGAGACCCATACGTAGGAGCCTGAAGGTATTCGTGTAACATTTCTTCATCCTACCGTTTTGTTTCTTGTCCATGAAATGCCAGAGATTGCCTGAATTAAGGATCTGTAAGAGAAAATGTGCAAGTGGTAGTCTGTGTAAGGCATGCCACCTACACAGATGGTGCTTGTGAATTATGAAGGCCAGTTTTCTCAAAAGGAGGAAACCAAATATACATTGAATCCCTACAGCCTTGTGGTGAAGCTTTATTCTGTGTGACTTAGTGATGAACAAGTGGAATTGCTCCATATGGTTCTGTTCAGTGTGCGCTCCTATTATCCTACATGGATTTTTGATTTTTCAGCTTTAGGCAGTTCATTGCTGCTCATTGAGAAGCACTGTACGTGAGGAGTTACTGTGGAGGAGGCTAGACACGGCTGGTAGGGAGGCTGGGGGTTGCCCACATCGCTTTAGTGAGTGACGCAGTTTCTGTCAGCTGTGCGCATCCCTGCCTCGCCTCCTCCACTCCACTCCACTGCAGTACATCTACCTTGTAGAGGATTTCTACCCTGTCCAATGACAGCATTCCCATTTTCATTCCACTGTTATGTAGCCTACATTTGTGCAACCACTGTGTGTGTATTAATCCTCCATAGACAATTTAAGAAGTCTGCTCTACCTTCCAGCACCAGAATTAGGATGAAGTTGCTCTCATCTCCTCTTACCCGAGTAGGCTTATTACGTACTGCATGAAGGAAATTTGTTGCGTACGAGGGGGGCGGGTGTTTTCTGCCCATCCTTTTTTGTAGGGAGGTTCCAAAGAGAAGCTTTTCGGCTAATGAGAGAAGCCCTGAAGTAATAGACTCGTCACCCACATGGCTCCCGTCCCCCACACTTTCTTCCCACGCAGTCCATCGTGCTTCACATCCTGCCTCGCTGCAAACCCCCTCACACATTTGGCTGAGTCATCTTTAAGCAGTAATGGAATCGTTTACTTTCCATCTACCTATGTCATATAAAGATTCATATGAAGCATAGGTTTATTTTGATGTGATACATTTAGGAGGCTACATTAATGTACATGGATTATGTGATTTGTCATTGTCAGTGTCTTTCTATCTCTGAATAACCCTCAGAATCTGACTCAAACTGTGGAAAATCAATAAAAATGGATTCTTAACTATTTAATTGACGTTAGGCAGGGCTTACATATTTATTTGTTTATTTATTTTACCTGTATTGTATATGTGTCATTTTCCAGACTGCAGAAGAGATCGACAAACTAACGGTAGATGAAGATTTGAATGACATAGAGCGGGCAGTCTACCTCCTCAGGTAATGGCAAATTCTATAAAATATTAATAATAATATTCTCAAAAAGATGTTATTTAGATATATTTAGTCATGGAAAAGTTTATGAACTTACCAAATTATCTGGATTTCTGCTAGGGTGCGTCCAACATGAAAATATTGTGCCACTGATACCAATTTTAAGGAGCTAAAATTTTGATAATGAATAAAGTCTGCCAATGTAATTTTACATGGTAAAAAATTAAACTCACTCCTATATTTCAGCTAAACAGTCTGTTACTGGCTGTTATCATAGTGAATTATTAACCGTGAATTGTCACATATGGCTGTTTTGAAACACCAGTAAACAGCAGAAACTAACAAAGTCTTAAATTTTTAGCAGTTATGTTATTTAGCTCTAATTTCTTGTAATCTTGTGCTGCCGCTGTTATTTAATCGATTGATCCACTGATTATTTCATCGATACATCAGTTAAACTCTTTATTTTCGTGACAAAAAAAAAATAACTGTAAGACAATGCAGAGTTCACTTATATTTTATTTTTCTACACACTGGAAGCCTTCCCATGTGAACCATGAACATGAGCTTAAATGATTTTGAAGTTTACGTTAATCAAAGTTATTAAATAAATAAAGAGACAGTTTTATATATGGACAAAAGTATTGGGACACCCCTCATAATTATCAAGTGTTTCAGCCACACCCATTGCTAACAGGTGGATAAAATTAAGCGCATAGCTTTGCAGTCTCGATAGACAACCACTGGCAGTAGAATGGGTCGTACTGATGAGCTCAGTGACTTTAAACATGGCACTGTCATAGGATGCCACCTCTGCCACAAGTCAGTTTGTGAAATTTCTGTCCTGCTAGATCTGCCCCTATCAACTGTAAGTGTTATTATTGTTAAATGGAAGCACCTAGGAGCAACAACAGCTTAGCCTCGAAGCAGTAGACCATACAAACTCACACACTGGGGCCGGCGGGTGCTGAAGCGGACATTGCCTATCCTCTGTTGAATAACTCACTAAAGTGTTTCAAATTGCCTCTGGAAGCAACATCAGCAAAAGAACTGCTTCTAAGCAGCTTCATGAAATGTTTTACCATGGTCGAGCAGCTACACACATGCCCAAGATCAAAATGCACATTGCCAAGCATGGGGGAGTGGTGTAAAGCACACCACCACTGGACTCTGGAGCAGTGGAAACGTATTCTGTGTAGTGATGAATCACACTTCTTCATCTGGCAGTCTGATGGATGAGTTTGGGTTTGGTGAATGCCAGGAGAATGTTACCTGCCTGACTGCACTGTGCCAACTGTAAAGTTTGGTGGAGGAGGGATGATGCTGTGGGGTTGTTTTTCAGGGGTTGGCCTAGACCCCTTAGTTCCAGTCAAGGGAAATCTTAATACTTCAGCACACCAAGACATTTTGGACAATTGTATGCTTCCAACTTTGTGGGAACAGTTTGGGGAAGGCCCAGACCTCAACCCCATTGATTATCTTTGGGATGAACTAAAACGGAGATTGCGAGCCAGGCCTCTTGTCCAACATCAGTGTCTGACCTTACAAATGCTCTTCTGTATGAATGGGCAAAATTTTTCATAGACACACTCCAACATCTTGTAGAAAGCTTCCCAGAAGCATGAAAGCTGTTAGAGCTGCAAAGGGGAACCAACTCCATATTAATGGATTTAGAATGGGATGTCATAAAAGCTCCTGTGGGTGTAATGTGTAGGTGTCCCAATACATTTGTCTATATATTGCTGCCCATAGCATAGATTAACTTAACATGATAAGCTTATCTGTACTAACAAGAAGAGATGTATAGGCTGTTGAACTATGGTTTATTAATCCTACAACGTGACCTACAAGTTTCTGACCAGAGCGATTAGCATGTTAATTTTATCTGGTTTAAGCAGTGGCATTACCACATTATTTGCCATGCTAAAACAGGTTAATGGAGCAAGATGTTGTGGGTATTGACTTTTGGCTTGTGTGCTAGGATTAGAAGCAGCCTCTCAGTTAGATAAAAGAAGCCTCTTAAATTTTATATGCACTCTAATAAAATGCTCAGACAGAATGCGTACCGTTGGTGTGCAAAAAAAAATGTAAGAGTGTTAGAAAAGGTGTTATAACATGTACTAAAAGTCAGATTTGGATGCATTTACACATTTTGTTTCTAGTTTATTAGTTGTCTGTATTGCTCTATTAAAAGTGAATAACTGGTGACTATCAACTTAGCAGTCTTCTTAAAGAGTGGTATAAGAATGCAGGACCATGGAAATTCTCAGAAATTAATGATTTTCCCTAATGTAGAATTACCTGTAGGGGTGTATTCAGTATAATATAAAACAGGCAACTTCAATATCAGTGGGATTTGCACCACTATCAGTAAACCTGTGTAAACTTAACTAGCTTTTCCTTTGTGCCTGAATTTCTAAATAAATGTCATGTCAAGGACCTCTGTAATCTTTTTTAACCAGGTTACTTGAATAATTCTGTTTTAAGGAAAACATAATCATTAGTAATCAAAATTATGTCTTTTATGTGTGATGGTGCGCCACAGCAGAACCAGTGAAAACACTAGACTCCAGTTACCTCTTGAACATGTACTTTGCCCAGAGGTTTACATTTTTTCTTGTTAAACTATTTATTCAGTAAAAATGTCCAATTAGCCTACGCACTTAAAAAGATGGTTCTTCAGGGGTTCTTTAGTAAAGAAAATGGTTCTATTTAGAACCATGAACGCTCATTTGAATGGTTAAAGGGTTCTTTGCATGATGAAAGTGTTATTCAGATTGATAGTGTTTTTTATATGGTTTTATATAGCACCAAAGAGGGTTCTTCTGTTACAAGCTTGACATTACAACAACAGAAGAACGCTTTTCGTTGCTATGTAGAACCCTTTTCAGAAAGGTTCTATGTAGAACCATCTACAGCACATTCTCACTCTGAAGAACTATTTAACTATGCAAAGAACCCTTTATTCATGCAAAGCGTTCTTTGAGTGTTCATGGTTCTATATACAACCATTTCATTTACTGAAGAAGGTCACTTTCTTCTACATAGCATTTGTTTGGTGGCTCTGTGGTTGGTAAGAACTCCCTGCAAAAGTTGTATTTGGGTTAAGTTGAACACTTCATGACTTCTCATCGCCTGCCGCCTGATGAAGAGTGTTCAGCACAGCAGGTCAGAGCAGGCTGTGTCGTCGCTGATGTACACACCTCATGAATAATGCAGCTAGTGAGTGGCCTTTCATTGATGTCTCTGGCAAACCTAACTGTGTGCCAGTGTCTGGAGGACACGACTTCTGAGAGACACCATTCTTAATCCTTTGCGTTACTGACACTCAAACGAACAGGTACAACAGTGATGTGCTGTTATCTGATAGAGGATTTAAGCTTATTAAAGTTGGATGGCTTGGTTCTGATTACCTGGAAGATTGGGTTATGCTTTTATCAGATTTCCTTAGAACTCAAGCACTCCAGGAGTGTCTTGTCAAATACTCTCATAGAATGTCTTGTTTGTTGTTCTCATGGACTGATAGTTTCAAAGCAAAAGGAGATAACTTTGTTAAACACCTTCATTTTTAATCAGGTTGTTTAACATCACATGTCTTGGTTCAGCAGGGTCATGCTTTTTTCAGTGCAGTTATATTGTCACGTTGAAGAGTAACTTGACATTGTAGTCTCTCTACGGTCAGTTTTCCTGACACAGATTTGGTAAAGCCTAGTTTTCAAGTATTCTCGGTCGGGAGTGTGTATCTTTTAAAGTCTTAGACTAAGCATAATTTATATACTAAAACTACCCTACTTGTATTTGGTGTGAACTACTCAAAGTGCAGTGGCCCATAAGTAGTTTGCGTTCCAGTGCTGATGGCTATCAGGTGAAAAATAGAGCACCATTGTTTATTCTAGGGATGCACTGATCCAGCCTCTCTCCCGATACTGATTGCGATACCTGAGCAATGCTCTCTTAAGGCTCAAGTTGCACTTTGACACAAATGGAAGCTTTAGGCCTTACAGCTTCTGTTGGAGCATCTCATTCTTGGTGTCCCTCTTTAACCTACAAAACTACGTAGCGCTCCTTCTCTGAGCTAATTAAGTGCCAGAGTCATTCCACACCTCGGCTCCCTCGGGCAGCAAACTAGTTCTGAAAACAATTTAATTGCCCCTGTTGGCTGCCACTTGGTGCTTTTAAGCAGGCTGCCAGCAAATCTGTGAGATGACAAAGAAGAGAGTGCTTGTTAAGTTGTGGATGAGCAGTTGGAAGGATGAACAGAGGAGGAGGGAGTCCCTCATGTGCAGACATCCCATGGATTATGATCACACCAATCTAATGTTTCTCCACTGAGAGTACCAAATGCATGCCTCTCTGACTCCTGAGGGGTTCATTTTAAAACACCTAAAGTACAGATTTTATATTTATGAATAAAATATTTTTTTTGCCCTTATCATATTCAGATTGATGCAAGGTTTGGGCTATTGCAAAGTGATCAGTATCCTGAAACATCACAGATACATTTACTGTTATAGTTAAATGTGGAATAGCATATATGTAGTAATATGACAGAACTGATAAACATCAACCTAAACAAGTTGTTTAAAACCATTTATCTAGAGAGTAACCATCATTTTGAATAAATACATTAGAATAAATGTAAAAATTAGTGCAATAAAAAGCTAGAATTTCTTGTTTCCAAAAAAGTAATCCATATCTTGTAAGCAAGTTAGAACAACATGGGTTTGGTTCCAGATTTCTCCTTGATGCCACAGCCATTGCATTAAACAGCACTCAAGATTTAATTTAATCTGGCATTGATTAGCCAAACCCAAGGATGATAACTACAAATAATACCGGGCTTCCCTGGGGAGAGGTTTATGGTTAATGGTTAAATGTACATGAAATCAGTCCTTCTTTGTATTAATGTAGTTTGTATTAATTCTAATGGTGTTTTCATTTTGCACAGTGGCCATTTTTAAAATGGTTTGTGTTTCTGTAAGTTAAATTTGTCAGTATGCCAACTGTTTAGTAGGCAAAAGCTGTAATACAGTGCAATACCTAAACCTTATCATCATCATCATCCTTCAGATGTCTATGTCTCTTTTTGCCTTCTTTCTGTCTGTCTTATATGGAAAATATTTTGCATATATTGTCAATAGAGCTTCTTACCCTCTTGTTCAAATAACTTCTAATGTAATCCTTTTCTCAAGGCTTATTATTCTGTTAATAAGCTTCACTTAATATTGAGCAGCTAGCTGACTTCAAACGATTTGCTAACTACTATGAAAGTTATGAAAGTAAGAAATGGAACCCTGAATACTCCCTGAGTTTCATTCGGGTTAAGTGAATTAAGCGGTCTAAATGGACACTTTAAGGTGAGCATTGTTAAATGATTTGCTCATGAAATGCAGTTTATTGAAAGGTGTCTTTGTTAATAATATTCAGTTACTAATATTCATGATTACTTGTTTTTGCTGTAAGAAATGTTTCTGTTTTTGCTGTTTTTGATGACAAGTTAATGCATGGATAAATCCTTCAGTCATTTCGCCCCTAACGTCCTTTAGTGTAGGAAAAAAAAAACGCCTGATTACTTATTACTGAGTCTGTTTTCAAAGTCTCACTGGAGTGAACTCAGCATAGCGTGAAGTAGCTTTATGGTATGCCAGCTTTCTCAGCACAGTGCAAAGCACACATGGCATTCTGCCTAAGCAAAAGTTTAGGCTTTTAAGGCCTAGATGAGCAGGCTTTGTCTTTATATGAAACCCAAGTCTCCAGCTCATCCTTCACTCGACAGTCAAACCTAATTACAAATGCGAGCGTGGATCTTTTTACTTTCTGACTGCCCTCCAGGAAGGACATGGCCCAAGCATTCAGAGTTAGATCAAAGTCTGTACCTAAGGACTTGGATTGTATTACTGGCCCCCTCATCACCTGGTCTTTAGCTGATTAAGTCACTCCGCTCCCCATAGATACCAGCTGCTCTGCTCTCTGTGTAGTGCCTCTGTCGACTACTCCATAAACAGACCTATTGCCAAGGTGCTGAACATTATTGCCCATATTCAGCATGTGCACAAACCATGACGACATTACCTTCTTCTTCGACAGACTTGGCAGCAGGCAAGGCCCTTTCATAGTTATTAAATAACCCTCTGCCAACAAAGGCCACTGGAGGACAACCTACCTCTGAAAAAGTAATGAATACCTGTTTATAGTTCATTATTTAGGGGAACAGCGCATATGCCCGACCGACAGACTAGGAGCTGTTCCTGGGCAAGAAGGAAGTCTGAGGAGTTTAAAGATCGAAAGTTTGAAAACATAATAACTACAGGGCAGCAATATCACTGTAGACTCAAACAAACTTTGTCACTGTGTGCCTCAAAAAAGAGATTTTTGTCATTTTGGAGCATTTCTATAAGTCCTTTCATTATTATATTTTACACATTGTAAAGGAGAGCTACTGTGATCAAATGATGTATAACAAGAAAAATAGGAAAAATAATTGAGATATGGGTGTTTGTTTTTGTTTGGGGCAGCATTGATAAGTGTGTGTTTTCTTGATATTTATTTCCTGTGTTCTTAGCACACTTGAACCTGAATCTGATTACACTGAGTTTCACTAATGCTTGCAGTCATAATGGTGAAGGATATAAAGGAAAATAGTGGTCTTGAAGCTTGAAGACTTTAAAAAAATGATACAACAAAAATAACTGGTTTTGTCATTCAGTGCTGCATAGAGGCAAGCTACAGCAATAACTCAGTGGCACTTAATGCTTGGAAAGTAATTAGTAATACTTAGGTTTGAAATCAGATGTTCTCTCTCCCCCTGTGGGTCCACTAACAGCGCATTATCTGATGGTTGAAACTGATCACCAAGCATTGAATCTGAAAGTGTACGTGGTCTTGCTTTTAAGTTGAATTAAAGCCTAAATTGAAAACGTCTATTTTAAAGTATGTCACCACTGTGTCTTTATGCAGTTTTGAAGGACTGTAATCATGTTTTCAAAGAAGCATTGCTGCTATTTCTAGATGTGGTATGATGATCAACATTTGGCTGTCAAACTAGTTAAAGGGATTGGAGATGTTAAAGAAAAACAGACACTAGATCGTACTGTATTTTGCTTTTCATGTACTTGGAGATTCAGGGGAAATGCAAAAACTGAACATTCTCTGTTTCTGTTTGCTTGTCCTGACTTCTTGCCAGCTCTGGTCAGGATGTCCAGCGAGCCAGTGTGATTGTCAACTTGCCAAACCTGGTGCGTCAGAACCCAGCAGAGACGTTCCGGAGGGTGGTGCCAAAAGTCAGGGTAGGCCAAATTCTGCTCCATCTCTCTCTTCTCAGCCCTGAGTTTAGGACATGCTTCATTAATATGTAGTGTTTGCTAAATGATCATCCAGAGCTTTTCCCACCCCCTCACAGGAGGTGCTGCACGTAGCTGGGGCAGACATGCAGCTTGCCGCAGCAGGGTCTTTCTTGACCATTCTCCAGGACGACATTGTCCTCATCCAGACCCATACGCACTCAATCTTGCAGATAGTTCTCCTCAACCTAGACCACAGGGACACAGGTCAGCACTCTTTGAGATACCACACCTCTCCACAGTAACTGAAGGTTCATTCGTAATTCTGAAGTAGTAAATGTGCAATTGGAGTTCTAATCTTGAATGTAATAGTGTCCTTTCTGAGAATCTGCTGTGGCCAGGCCTGAAAACAGTGGGTTTTCAGACAACATTTAATAGTGCATTTCAAACCTTAAATGAAGACAGAGTGAAGCCTGTATTTCCTCTGAGACTCAGTTTCAGCTTTGTTTTTCCTCTTTGTGGCATTTTCAACAGTGGTCGGCAATGCTTGGCTAGAGACCTTGCTTTCAGCTATTGATGCTTTACCAAAAGAAACCATCAGACAGGAGGTAATAAGAGCTTCTTAGATTTTTCTATCATTCTTTCTTTCTTTTCAGAGCTATTCTGATTAACAGTCTATGGAATAAGGAAGGGTTGGAAGAAAACAATTAAAACTCAACCTCTTCTGCTGTGGCCTGATTGTGTTTGCAGATTCTGAGCCCCTTGGTATCTAAAGCTCAGCTCTCCCAGTCTGTACCGGCCCGTCTGGCCAGCTGTCGCATCTTAGGCAAGGTTGCTGCCAAGTTTGAGTCATCAGTGTGAGTTTGCCAAAGTTTCTGTTTTTCTGCCTATAAGGCAGGTATACTGGCACGTTTCCACCACGCTGAGCTCTGATACAGAGGATCTTCTTCTATGCATACATAAAGCAACAGCATTTTCAGAAATTGCTGTACTGTTCTCTATCACAGCAAAACCACTGCTCTGCAAAGTACAGTTATTTTTTTTTGAGCTAAAATGGATTTTAACAGAGGTAACTTTGTAATGACAGTAAAATTTCAATTAGGTATATCCCTGGAATGCTTCAGGTAGTTTTAGCAAGACATAATAAAAGCTTTCTCTCCTGCTTATAGTAAGTGCTCATTTACAAGCATTTACAGGGTGACAAGGGTTAAGAGACAAGATACTTGAAATTGTTTAGCACTTACACAAATGTCAGATTTAGAATTCTTATTGTTTATTTTAGACTACCAACAAACATAAAGCAGCATATGAAAATTCTTTCAAGACTGTCAGGTTTTTTTTATGATGAGTTGTTTTGAGTATAGCGTCTGTATTGTCCTGCTGCTGGTAATGGTTTCTCAGACTGTTTGCTGTGGCTGCCCTCTGCAGAGTGAAGAAGGACCTGCTGCCTCTGGTCAGGTCGTTGTGTCAGGATGTGGAGTACGAGGTGCGCTCCTGCATGTGTCGCCAGCTGGAGAACATCGCCAGGGGAATTGGGTAAAAAGAAAACGAGAAAGAGATTAACACAAAAGAGTTGGGTCTTCCATACGTTTGAATGGCCTTGTTTTCAGTACAGGATCTCAGACTACCTAGGAAAGACTGGACAAATCAATCACAGTGAGAGCTGTGTTGAAGGTGCAACCTGTGCCTTATAGTAATATCATTTTGAATAACCTCCTTTTGCGATGTGTCCAAGGAGACAGAGCGTGTATGACTGTTGCAGATTAATGGGATTTTTTGACCTTACTAGTGAAGACTGATAGCCGCTGTCACCATTGTTCTGCTTCACTTTCTGGACTAGCTTGGTCATATTAAAAGGATTCGGATGACATGAATTGATTTTCATCTTTATGTCAGAAGCATGCATCCCACTACAGCAATAATAAAGTATATCTGAACTTGTATGCTCAAACTAGTAGTTTATTTGCTAAATAAGAGTTCATCAAAACTATGTCAAAGCATGTTTTTAAGTGATATAACATTTTTATTTATTTTAAAAAGGGCTTTAATTTTTTTTGTTGAATAATTCAGTGGAAAAATCAGAAGCTGACAAAATGGAAAATACGAGGAAGAGTTGTAAATTGGATTTGTTTTAACTGATGCATGTTCACAGGACACATTGTAGTACTTTGAGACACTGACTTCCATTCTGGTATCATACACATACTATGTGGCTAAAAGTATGTGCACGCCTGACCAACACATGTATAGGAGCTTGTTGAACATACTTTTCCAAAACCATGGGCATCAATATGGAGACCCCCCCCCCTTGTGGCTATAACAACCTCCACTCTTCTAGGAAAGCTTTCCACAAAATTTTGGAATGTTTTTGTGAGAATTTGTGCCCATTCAATCAAAAGAACATTTGTGAGGTCAGGTTCCAATGTTGGAGAAGGCCTGGCTTACAATCAACGTTCCAATTCATCCCAGAAGTGTTCGGTGGGGTTAAGAACATGGCTCTATGCCAGCCGTTGGGCTTTAACGTTGAGCTTAGTAATTATTAAATATTTACATTTTTTCCTCAGCAAGTGTAAATATTAGAGAAATTAACAGAAATGTAATAGACAACACTTTTATTTTTTATTTTATACAAATTTTTCAAGACAGAAAACATGACTTTTTTTGGTTAGTTAAGCTAAAAATTTGAAATCGCTCTGGTTTTAACTCCTTACATAAAGCTAACACCCATAGCTCCAGTTAAGTGAGACACTGCTGCTGAAATGGCTAAACTGATGCTGCTGTCATATCGCATGGGCATAAACCTTTGCTAAAAAAAGCTGCACATTTGGTTGTCGCAAGGAAATATTGAAGAAGAACAGACAATGGCTACAGGTGTTCAGTTTTATTCAGTTTTACTTGTATACATTATTCTCATCTTTACTGGATATGTTTCCACAAAAAAAGTCAGCGAAAACTGCTGTGGCGATTGCTTTCTTGCAGTGAGTTTATTGGTTCTGAGCATGTTATCATCATGTTAAAGTGGTGTACACATTAGTAGTCACTAGTTAAGCCATGACTTACATGGTGGTGCAACCAAATTCAGTAAATGAGTAGTTTGAAACAAATTAGTGTTAACTATGGCCTCCATAGTTAACTATGGTGTCCACATACTTTTGGCTATATAGTCTATGATACTATCTGTTTGACCTGGAAGATGCATGTCAATAACCAGATATTATTTGCATGGAAGTGGATAGATGAGTATGTGAATATATCACTGTTGCACAATCACAGAGTTTTAATGTGTGATGTATTTGTCTCTTTCTTTTCTTTGCCCCAGGCTGGAACATACGAAGGCTGTGGTGCTGCCAGAGTTGGTGGAGCTGGCTAGAGACGAGGGCAGCACTGTGAGACTGGCAGCTTTTGACACTATTATCAACCTCCTAGAGATGTTTGACAGTGGTAAGCTTTCTGTGTTTACATCGCATAAAGGAAGTAGCTTCAAAGAGTCAAAAATGTCAGTTTTAATGTTTTTTCAGGGCGTCAAAAATGATGTTTTCAGTGGTTTTTCAGGGAGTCAAAAATGACAGTTACAGCGTTCTAGTAAGGTTCTAGTGAGGTTCTAATGAAAAAAGTAAAGTTAAGGCTCTAAGCAAAATCTACTCATTATTTCTGGCAAAAAATACACAATACATTTATAGCAGTCTCCCAGATAGTAGTCTAACCAACAATAAAACCCACCTTGCCCTATTCAGTAGCTTTCTCTTAAAGGAGCAAACCATGGAATATTACAGGTGTATGGAGCAATTTACGTGAGATGTAAAAACATGTTTGCCACTGCACAGCAGTTTTACAGACCTTTATACATAACCTGATGTACATAGATCCAGTACATCTAAATGAACATTAAAGAAACACATAAAGCACCTAGTTATAATGTTGGATCATTTGGATTCACCCTCTAAAAAGGCCTAAAAGTTCCTACATTACCCAGAAGTCCTAAGGGAGAATAGAAAGGGCAGCAATGTTAACATGTCTGAAATAGTGGTAAGGTGTTAAAGTATTACAAGTTAAAACTACCTATTATCAAACTCTCCTCTTCTAGTGTACACTTCTAGCATTGAAGACCTGACCTATTTACTTTTCAGTTTTAGCACTGAAACCATGTCTAAAAGAAGAGCATGTAGTTCATATTAATAAAATATCAGTACAACTACTTTAACACCACTGACATGATGAACAAGTAGAAAGGGTAAATAAAATTACTAGATGAGAACTATAACTTGGCAATATAGACAATAATATAGACAATAATAAGCTAATGTACTGTAAAGCATAGGTATGACAACTCCAGGCACATGCTTTGTGTGCGGACATCATGTATCAATAACATGTCTAATCTCATTAACCCTGCTGTGCTTGCTGTAGCTAGCTCATGTCTTGCTGGAGCTCAGTAGACAGGCCTGAATTCTGCTACTGTGTTTTGTTTCTGTAGAAATATTTAATTCTGTTCATAAACAAGTGCAGTCTTACAGAAAATGCTTCTTCTTTTTCTTCCTTTTTTGGGGAATGAGAGAGGATTTGTACTTAGTATAACTTCTTTTGTTAGACAGATACTGCAACAATTGTAGGCGGCTTAAGTAAGAGAAGCTTTCCTCCTGGAGTTAAACAATCTTCAAATCCTCTTATCACATTAAAACATGGTGGTCCAGCTACATTTTGTATAACAACACTTGGTCATGTTCACTTGTATGTGTTTTCATAGTCATTTGCATTCAGAGACTGTTGTCCTCCCTAAAGAGTTTTAGAGGACTCTTTTAAGAGGACTCTTTTAGGAAAGTTCTTTTGATGTGTACATGCACATTCCTTGTTCTTGCCAAGCTACCACCTGTCACTGACACATTGCTGTGCAAAATGTCCTCTTTTTGACATCTGAAGTTGTATATGAGGCACACTGGGACATCATATACAGAAATAGACAAGCAGTGATGGTTGCTATGCTGACTAGAGATGAGTCTGGACATCAGTCTCACACAGTCTCTCTGATTTCCTCTCACCCTTTCTCCACAGATGACAGGACACGTGTTATATTTCCCCTGGTGAAGACATTCTGTGAGAAGTGCTTTAAAGCTGATGAGGCAGTGCTGGCCTCCCTGTCCTTCCAGTATGGCAAGCTGTGTCACGGCCTCTCGGGTGGGTGTCTGAATCGTACTCACACCTGAGCTACTGTAAAGGTTGGCAAGTAGGAGGATGCTGAAGCACTAGAATTCATGGTTTCTCAAATCCTGCCCTCCATGGTTACAGTTGCTCAGTAACTCAGACAATCAGTGCCCACAAATGGCAGATCTTCATTGATTTTAATGGAGAATATCTTGGTAATTTAAAACATTTTATATTGTCAACCATTTAATCAGAATTAACCATGATGATGATTGTATTTTTAGCTAGCAATGTGTTCTTAGCTTGCTATGAAGTGGTGAACTGCTGAGAATACGATTTAATTTAAAACCGCCTGTTCCACAGTTGGGCTTAAGCAGCGTATGCCAATGGCAATTAGTGTTCCACAGCAGTTCTCATGCTCTGGCAAGGCTTATATCAAGCTTTTTCTATGCAGAATCCTCAGGCTTATGGCCTCTTTGCAAGTCATAATGTTCATTCTGCCAGATGAATGGTCTGTAGACAGTTAATTACTTGGAACTTTCATTCCATAGTGTACATTGTTATATGCGCATATTATGGCAACTAAGCAACATATTGATCTGTGGATGAAGGAATGATGTGACTGATGATGTATCTTAATGAAGCTATAATTTAATAGCTAATTGTTGATGAGTCACAGTTTGGATTTCTGCTTGCTTTCACTGCTTCAGGCGCAATGCTAAATGCACCATCTGAGCACTGACTTGCCTTGGCATGCACTGGCCTCTCTGTCGAAAGCCAGCCGTTGTGTGCTCAGACGCCAGTGGACCTCTTTTGAGCTTTTCTCAAATGCCCCTTCTGTCTTTGATTGCATATGAGATGAAATGTTCAGGCCCCCAAATACTTCATCCAGGTCCATGCTCATCATGACATTGACCCCTGCTTCTTGCTTCCAAACAGCATCTTTCACAGATGAGCAGCATCTCTGGTTTCTTGAGTTCTATAAGAAGCTGTGCTGCCTGGGGCTGCAGCATGAGAACGGCCACTGCGAGAGCCAGCCCTACCCCCTGGAGCTGGAGAACAAGTATGCCCTGGTGCGCAGGAATTGCGCCTACAACTTCCCTGTGAGTGACAGAGCACCACTGTATCAGTCTTCTACAAACAGTAGTTGGTGACCTCTTACACGTTTAGATGTCTTGACATCATTGAATCAGGTTACAGTCATATTTGCATGTGTAAGAACAAACCAAGACAGGTATGACAAGATGAGAAACTGAATAGCCCCATAGCCCATGCTCATTTTTTAGAGTCTTTCTAGCTCAGAACTTCAGGTCTGCTTAGATCTGACCCAAAGAATATTTTCTTGTACACTCAGAATCTGAATTATTTACTGAATTATGAAAATCTTGTGAGGGAGCACAGACATCTCCTGTGACAGGGCTCTTTGAACTGGAGGCTCGTTTGAGAAAATTAAACCTGTAACTGCTCCATCTGTCTCTGCTGAAGCGGCTCTGTGCTTTCAGTGCTGGTTATAAATAGAGACGGCTACTCTGCATATGTTTGTGCTTTCTGGGAGCGTTTTGAGTAGAAAGCAGCTGAAAGTTTTGCACAATGATTACTGTCTGTAATGTTAAAGTAGGTTCAGGCGATTCTGTAACTGGTGATTATAAGACCTTAAAATATCATTTATGATTTAAGTACATGTAAAAGTTATTAAGTGTTCATGTCTTTGTCACACTATATATTAAGGGTAGGTGATACAGCAAAAATGTAATACCACAGTACTTCAAGAAATTTTCACCATTTTTTCTGCCATCTAGTAAGTTGGAACAGACAAAAAAGAACAGTGCCACATTTAAAAATACTATCATAAACTATGAAAATGATTTTTGTTTAACATTTCACATGCTGCACTGAACTGATTCTTGTTAAACAAGACCACTTATGCTCTCTTGCAGTTGATCTGTGTTCTAAAAGTACTGACAACATCCATGATGTGCTCAGAAAAGGGCACTGTGATGTAATTTATCATGGTAATGATAAAAAATGTTGTATTGCTGTGCAAAACTATGGATTAGTATGAATGTACACTCGTAAAAAAGTAAAGGTACTGTAATGTTTTTGAAGTGATTCCCTGGGGTTCCACAATGAAAGTTTCAACTGATGGTTCTGTAAGGAAATAATTCCGATCTAATCTCTGTCTGCCATATCTATAGCATACAGCTGCTTACCTAGACAATAATTTTGATATTTACCTTTAGAAATAGAAAGAACAGAAAACCTGCTGACACACTTATAACAGAAGCTTAAGTGTGTATAACAGTTTTAAAACAAACTCTCCATCTATATGACTAAAGTGGTGCACTGGCAATTTTGAATTTTTCATAGGTGACTTAACAAACATCCATACTGTATGATGCCTAGTGAAATCACTTTCATGATATATTCTACACATGTCTTCTATAGACAAACCCTATAAGTTGTACTTTAAAATGCTTTTTAATGTCAGTCAAAAGTACCTAAGCAGCTCAGTTCCTGTTTTTGCCAACATTCTTAACTCTTCCTACAGGCCATGGTGTTATTTGCTGACCCAAACCACTTCCTGTCCGAGTTGTACCGGACCTTCTCGAGTCTTTGTCACGACCCTGAAATATCAGTCAGGCGGACGGCTGCTGAGGGGTTTCATGAGGTACTAGCTGTAGCTCTCTTCTGTGCATTTACCATATAGGAAGTCTACTGTATAGAATGCATAACATATATATGTGCTCATGTATGTGGTTTATTTCTTACATAAGTACAGAAGCCAGTGTTTTATAGTTACACTGAGGAAATAGAGACTCCACTCACTCACCCTTATCATATTAGGTCTTTCCGTTTCGTAGATTGCACAATCTGTATGTGTAGTATAATACAGTTTGAAGAGACTGGGTGAGTATGAGAAGTCAGCTGGGGGATAAGGAAAGAGGTGTGAATTGGGCTACACTGACCTAATGTTCAAGATGTCCTTGCAGACAGAGCAAGTTCCTTATTACCAGAGCCTAAGGGCTTATTACCCAACCTTTTTGCCTTACACCTGTTATTACCTGATGTAGACACTGGTTATTTGTAACCCTGGGTTTAAGGTAACTCTGTCCTGAGGTTGAAATTGCACACTACACCCCCTTTATGCTCTCTGTTTCAGGTGGTTAAACTGCTGGGTCCAAATGTGCACTATGTACACAAAGAGCTGATCACCTTGCTGCAGGATGATTCATTAGAGGTGGGACCTGTGTGTGTGTGTGTGTGTGTGTGTGCATTTCTGTCTGAGAGGACGCACATTTGTGTTTCAAATATATATAGGTGGGTGGCTGTGTGTCTGATAGAGAGTCTACAGCTGTGATGTGTGCTTCGTTGCTGTTATTCACTTGGCACACAGGGTTTATGTATCATTTGGTGACGCTCCGTCCACTGAGAACACTACTCTGTTCTATGATGATTTCTACTTGCAGTGTGTCAGACATCTGACTCTTCTCTGGGACGTCGAGCCCTTTCTGGCCAGACTCTGTCCTTTAAGACTCAGCTTGTCTTTGCTGACATAGGCCCCTGTGTTTAGGGTGTGGATTCATTTTTTTCCTTCTTTGTGTGCATTTGTGTATGAATTATCTTGCCAGGCCATTCCTTGCTTAAAGTTGCATTCCAGCATGATACTTACATATATTATATTATTTGTCATGTTATGTAGCATTCTATAGTGTAGCATTGTATGTCTCAACCTAATAATTTTGGCAGAATTCATGGTTATGTATAGTTGACTTTTTTTTCTATCAGCGTTTGCTCACTACAATACCCAGCATGCACTACACAAATAAAATCATTGAGAGGAAAAGGGAAAAGTGCATACCTATGCCATCTGCTGGATGTGGTTGTTCTGAATTGCCATTCATTTTGCCTTCACTGTTGTGAATTTTGTAAAGCACAGAAGCCAACATAATAGCAAAACAATTTGCTGCTATAACTGGGGCTTCTCTGCGGAATGTGTGGTAGGGACATCATCTGTGTGACAGATTTTGTAGTCTGTTTTGGAAAACATTATTTCTGTCTTTTGCCGTGGATTAATAATTTTGAACATACTGTCAAATATAACTCAATATGGTAATGACACAGCATGCGATGTAGTATAATGTGCATCACTTCAAATTTATTGGTAACCTGCTTTTTGAATGGAATGGGGGTGATCTTTTCCTATTGAAATCCCTATCATACTCAACAAATCCGGACATCTAGCTTTGTTGCTGATTTGTATTAGCTAACTAAAGCTAGCTAGGTAGCTACTTTTAACCACTACAGTTAACCATGTGAATATTCCAGCATTGACCTATGCCAGGAGGATATGCAGTATAGCTGCTTGAAACTGAACATCTGAATGTCCTAATGTATGTGTGTTGGTATATGTGAAATCTGTTTGTGGAGGTTCCAGGCCACTGTGTTTTGTGTGGGATGAGTGAATGCACTACTTCTCTGTAGCTGACGTTAGGAGCTTGCTATTGTTTGTTCTATACCGATCCCTTGAGAGATGTTAGTCACACAAAATATTAGCATTCAGTGCTGTGCTAAGCATACAGACCAGCAGCCCAAGGCTTACTGACACTAGTTATTACTGAGGTGAGCTATTGATTATTGTTATAGATGCTATGAAAATGAAAACCTTCTTTTTAGCCTTCTTTTACTGATCCTATAGCTCTATATGGAAAATAGAAAAAAACAGTGGCTGGTGGGTGGGTTTGTGGGATGTGTATTTATAACAGTGGTAGGTAGGTGGGTTTGTTTTTTCTTTAAAGAAATAATTTATTTGCATATATAACTTACTGTCACCTTAAATACATGGTTAGAGGAACAGCCTGCCTCCAAACACTTTATTGTTCTTGAAAGGAAATTTGACTGTATTGCAGGAGAATTAATACAGGAATTGCATTGTATTCATTAATAAATTATTGGTGTCCATATAATAGAAAGATTTTTGTTATATTCCAAGATATTTGTCACTTAATAATTCTATTCTTACAAAGTCAAGGAAGTGCAACATTTGCCATGCTGATTGTTCTTAAAAAGCACAACAGTAAACACAATTCAATGAGCACTAACATTGCTAAAGACAATTGACAAGTCAATTACTAAAGTGAATTGATGAAACAATGCCATTGCTAAATCTGAGAACCAATAAGAGTACTGCACTGTTCATAATTAAGACTGATTTACAGCAGCATTGCTATTGAGATGATTGATTAGAGTAAACACTGATTTCCATTAGTTCAGTTTATATAGTCGTAGCACACGTTGAAGAGAGACCTATTTTTCAGGCTGTGTGACAATTATGGTTCTCAACGATCACTCAACAGGATCCTTTGCAAATGGTCAATGCACCCAAAACAAAAATGTGATTTGTTTGAATGCTGTGCTGGAAATAATTGAGAATTCTTCATTGTGGTGCAACAGGCATACGCCTAAGTGGTATAAAAATTGCTACCTTTTCAATTATCCAACCAAAATGTAATTTTCAATTAAAAATATGATTTCATATGCAACTGATGACATGCACTATTTGCTGCATAGTGCATTCTATAATAAAGTTAAGGAAGATGTGCTCAAGTTTATGATTTAATGTATGTAATGATAATTATATACTGTAAAACTATTCTGAATTAAGCCTTAACTTGATATGCTGTATGTGTTACTGCAGCAAAGGAAGGGCAAACTCCCGTATTAATAGCCATGAATTCAGAAGAAATGATGGATGAGTAGGCATCTATAATCTTTTTTGATATAAAGTGAAAGAATACTGTATTGAGATTTTACAACAGATTGTATTAATAGATTTTGTTCACACTGTTCATAACTATGGAGTTATTATCCAGTTGACAGCTAAAATCCAATTCAAAGATCAAAGTCTGAGATCAAAGTAATACAGTCTGTAATGAACTTCACCAAATTTAGTGCTTCACAACATGAATGAATAAGGAATAATGGTTTTATCATACAAAATCAGGGCTGTTTGAAAACCTTTTCAGCTGGTAGCACTGCTGCCAGAGGTATTAACATAATGCACCAATTAACATATTGCACCATTAAAATAAAACATCTTTAATCATAGTTTTTAAAGTATTAATTCCAATAAATTGAAAAACTTGAAAAACAGAAGTATGTAAAAATACTTGAATGTTAATGTGCATTTTGTGAAATGCACTGATAATTCATTTTTACTACAATAATTCCCACAAAAGATTCCCTTCAAGCACTTTCAATGTGTAAAGTGTTAATGCAAACACAACATATTAAACAACAGGGCATTACAAATAGTTGTCGTTCTTAATAAACCTCATCTTAATTACTTAGAGTGGTTAAAATATCTTAAGCTGTATTTGTGCAATATTTGTGAAGATGTTGCTGTTTGAGCTTCTGTCACTGCTTTTTGGCAGGTACTGGATGCCCTGCTCAATCACGTTCAGGAAACTTTGGAGCTGGCAACTTCCAGGGGGGAAGGTGCAGGGCCTGAGAGTAAGGTACATGAATGAATGTGTTAGGGTAAGAAGAATTGGTAGAAGCAGTAGCTCCCTCTGCTGGCTATGCAGAGATTTCTGTGTTCTTCCTCAAGCATGTTAGAAGAGCCACAATTAGGTTTAACATTATTTAAATCTAAAGTTGTTGTTTTACCCGTCTTGAGCCATTCATATTTTATTTTACAACTCAAAATCACCAACAATTTTTCTTAATTGTCAAGTTCATTGGCTATTTTCTATATATGTTTTTAAAAAACTGTGATTTAAAATGACCCTTTTTTGACCAACACTTTTATGTTGACTTCCTCTCTCAGCAGGTGAATGTGCCTGATCTGGTTCCTGCCCTGGTGGCAGCCGAGCAGAAGGCTGCATCCTCACTACGCTGGAGGGTCCATGAGAAACTTCTGCAGCGCTATTCCTGCCTGCCCCGGGTCATCTCTGGAGACCAGATCTACTTCCGTTTCCTGCAGAGAATGTTTAGCATCATCACAACAAATGTGAGATGCACTTATACGTTTACACACACTGCACGCATATTCATATTAGTCTTGACCCCATCCCCTTTTCACAGTAGCTATAACATGCAATTCCCATCTGTTTTGGGAATCTCTCAGTTGAACTAGGCATTTTCTCTTCAATACAATTGATTACATATATTTAAATGATGGAAATGAACTGGATTTTCATCTTTGTAGGTAAGCAAGCAGATAAAACATTTATAGAAATGTTTTCATTGTGCATGATTTTTTTCTATCAAGAAACCTGCAGTTGTGCTGTCCGTTTTATCTTGTCAGGGCTGTCTTTGTGGAGAGGTGTTGATTGTTTTCACAGCAGTTCTCACCCCTCCCCTTTCACCCCTTCTGCTCACTAGCAGTTCAATACAGAGACACAACTTTTCACATACAGAAAGCCACCAGTGTTCTAATTAATGTGATAAAAGAGTTAGAGGGAAAATATTTTATTTGATTGTAATCATTCAAAATATACATGTTGATTTCCACTAGAGGGCCTGCAGAAAGAAGATATTTTCATCTTCATTTTCTTCTCAACTTTCTAGAATGTTCTGCCAGTCCAAAGAGAAGCTGCTCGGACGTTGTGTGTGTTTTTGCGCTACAATCGCAAGCAGGAGCAACGGCAAGAGATCATTAGCAAAATAATGCAGGGTAATGGAGCACAAAAATTTGTTTTTTATATAGAAATACTGTGAAAATGTATTGTACTGTAAAATTTATTGATTAATATTTATAAACATGTAATTTGTTCTTTCATCTCTGAAATTACTTTTGCTTTTACTTTGTATTTTTCTTGTATAATTTAATGGCTGATTTCTTATATACAATTATTTCATCCTATCTACTTGCTTTTTCTTGCATTCTCTAAGAACTAGCTCAAGGTAGAAGCTACTGGAACAGGTTGCGGTTTCTGGACCTGTGTGAGATTGCCATAGATCTCTTCTCCAAATCCTACTTCTGCAAACACTTTCTTATTCAGGCGCTTGAGCTCGTCAATGACCCTGTGGCCAATGTCAGGTGATAGCCGCACCCCCATTCATGTACAGTGCTCCTATCATGTAGCCACTACTTTCTCTACTTGCAGAGTGGATTGTGTATTCTAGAATTCTATACTTGTTTAGCAAAGCAGAGGTTCACTGAAGACCTATCCTGTGACTCTGGCAGGTATAAGCTGTGCCACATGCTGCCCAGGCTAAGGTCCACCATCAGGTTGCCTGCGGACAAACACCTGCTTCAGCAGCTGGAGTTCTGTGTCAGGAAACTGCTCTGCCGTGAAAAAGACAAAGATGTAGTGGCCACAGTGCGCAAGGTGAGGGGTAGTGTCAGTTAATGCTCTCTTGGATGAAAAATAGAAACAATAATAATTTAAAAAAAAATTAAAAATGAATTTTTCTTTCCTCAGACAGTCTTGGAGCTGGACAAAATGGATATCACAGAACCGGTATTAATTTAATCTTACCTTTACACTTGTCCATGCTGTTTGTGGCTAGTTTTAAGTGAATGTATTTTGACTGTATGGTTGGTTTTGAGATCTCAGAGCACTTTTCACTCCTGCAGTATCATAAAAGGCATGAAAGAGACTTGCTAGACCAAAAGAAGGAGAAGGAGGAAACTTTACTACTTGAAATGGTGAGAGATCAACCTTGTAGAACAATGTAGAATAGCTGGGTGCATGAAATCCTGAAGTGTCAAGCATGTTAAAGCACTGGAGGAAAAGAAATAGTTTTTTTAATGATTTTTTATATTTAAATTGCAGTTGCATTGTTTCTTTTTTATATAAGGAGTGCACCAATATGGGAATTGTAGACGGATGTCTTTATCCGGCCATGCCAAGGTTGCAAATACAGGAAAATGAATAAAATGCAGATATTTTAGTACAGTATCCCAGCGTCTCCTAAACATTCTGCTCTTCTGGAGTACCACCAATACGTCATCAAATATTGGTTCACAATATGTCAAATCTAAATGTCTGTCTGATGCCATTGTGCATGCCTATTTTTATTTCAATAAATATTAATAATGTGTGTGATGTTCGAAAAATGGGCTGAAAGTGTTTCCAAAGAAAGCTCACCTTCTTTTTGAAGTAATCACTTGACCTTTATAATCAGCATTTTCAAATGTCAGGTGTAAGAGTCAGATTTTTTTTTTACCACACAGGAACTGCTAGAACGGCAGCAGAGCGAAGCCAAATTGGTTGGAGAAAAGCACACTGAAAAGAAGCGTAAGTCACTGACATATTTATATAATAATCACTTCCTATACAGCGCTCTCTCTCTGATCCAAACCACAGCGCTGCGAATCCATGCGTTCCATGCTCTTACACATCAGTCAGCTCATAAGGAGCTTGATAATTTGCTAATGAGTTGCGTTCTTAGTGATAAAGCAGAGAAATACAAAGCTGTGCATAGCTGTGAGTAAATCTGCTGTACAGTTTCTTTCAGTAATCTATATTCAACTAATCAGTTATATGTACTTTCGTTTAATGGTAATGCCTCCTTGATGTTTTTTGCAGGAAGAGACAGCAAAGCGGGACTTTCTGGTAGCAAAGGCATGTCAGGGTCTACATCTGGAGCCACCCTGTCCACATCTGCTGGTTAGTGTGGAATCTGGCAGAAGTGCATGGAAACAGATTTGGCATTTTTAATGTTGGACAGTTTTGATGTTGTCTTGATAATTATGTTTTTAGGTAAGGAAATGCGGAGAGCCAAACTGGCTCGCAGTCGTTCCCTCAGTAGCCATCCCAGCACTCCTAAATTGGCAAACTCTGACAAAACACTGTGAGTATCAAACTATTTTCACAAATAGTGTGGCTCTGAAGAAAAAAAAAACATTAAACCAGTAAAGTTTGGCTCTGGTCCATGACAGCTGCATGCAGCTGCATCTGAGTTTAAATAGGAATCCTACTGATTTTGCTAAATTCCTGCATAATTAAATGGTTAAGATGTTAATGAAGTCATTCAGATGGGTTTGTTGTGAAATGCTCTATTATAGTGAAATTCATTATAGAGAGTCAGAATTGTTCAATTGGTGGTGATGGTAATCAGATGTTTGAAGTGTACGGTCTCTGTAAAGTGCCTCACAGACAGTTATTACATGTAATGTTTATGATAGTGCTGCCTGATGTCTGAGACACTGTTTTATGATAGGCTTGAGAAAATATATTTTTGTAAATCCATTTACGGTGGAGAGGTACATGCAGGGTGTTGTGAAGCAAAGCAATCTCAAAAGAAAACTTATTTTTTCAGATTTGCCACTATTTTACCATCATCATCATAACATATAAAAACTCTTAAGGCACGTGTAGGTTCAATAATTGCTTTGGATAGTAAATATAATGGCTATATCACCACCATTACAAAGAAATCAGAGTCAGTAAGTTACTCTGCAGTGCACTGTTTCACATCAAAATGCTCTGAATTGCTTTGTTTACATCTTGATGATCGAGTTAGGCAAAAATAAAAAAGTGGTAGTGGCTTCCCCTTTAAATTATTAAATCAGTAGTTTGTATACAGCGTTCAGTTTGCATGCGGAGCACTCAAAATATTTAACCATGGAACCTCTAAATCAGGGGTGCACAACTCTGGTCCTGGAGGGCCTGTGTCCAGCACAGTTTGGTGATTTACCTGCTCCAACACACCTGATCACACTTACCTGATAATTGCCAGGTTAAGTGGGTGTGTTTGAGCAGGGAAACCTCCAAACTGTGCTGGACACCGGCCCTCCAGGAATGGAGTTGTGCACCCCTACTCTAAATATTAACCATATTAAATTCTTCAGGGTTAACCCTACTGAACTACTAGAGTATGACTAATGAAACGATGAAACAATGTAAGACTGGATTAAAATCATATTACAAGACTAATGCAGGCTTGTATTTTATAGTCCTATCTAACACGATTTGTTTTTTTCTTTAGAAAAGTGAAGGAATCAGGAAGTTGTCCTGGATCAGGGAAGAGCTCCATAATACCAATGAATGGTAAATAACATTTTTTTCATTCATAGTCATATACTTATATTATCACACGAGTATATTAGCATTCTAGTGACTGAGCGATGAATTTGATTACTGTGGAACAGACAAAAACACAATTGCTTTATCTGAAATCCATTAAGGTTTGAAAACTGTTTATGAATTAGACGACAGTAGCATCAGAATTTCTCAGAAAACACTCTTATTCGGACTGTCTCTCTAAAAGCAGTTCTTACATTATACTGGTCTTTCAATATTTCAAAACTGTTTCCTAGATGATGCCCTACGATCCCATCATTTCAACGTGGCCTCCTCATCCTCTTCCTTGTCTCCAACTCCCTCTACCTCCTCCATGCCCGTCTTGATCCGCAGCAACACAAGCAGCTCTGTAGATCATCGGAGCAACGGCAGCAAAGACACACAGTCCAGAAAACTTACCATGTAGGTGTGACTGTTGTTTTCAGATTTTCAGAAGTAGAGTTGTACATTCTGAGATCAGTCTAATTGGTGAAAGTGATAAAGTACGTTTGGTGTTTCAGATTTAAATCTCAGCTGGTTCATGTGTCATCAGTGGTCTGGGCTTGTTCAGAATGCATTTGGGCAAACTTGTTTAAAACTTTTGGAAAAGCATTCCAGGTGGCTTCTCATGAAGCCACTTGAATGAAAAGAACAAAAACAGGCTACTGACGGATGCAAATACTGATAAATCTAAAATATAAGACTGATTTTAATGATCTGTGCACAGTTTGATGTCTTCAGTGTTATTCTAAAATGAGTAAAATCATAGGCTACAAATAAGGAAAAACATTCTATGAGTAGATGGGTCTAAACCTCTGACCTGTATTGTATGTTGATTATGATCTTTGGACTGTGCACTAGTGTAGAGTGAATCGACTGTCTGAAAAGCTTTTTTTTGTCCCTTAGACAAAGGAAGTCTAATTCTTTTGGCATGCAGTCTGGGAGGGAGTGACAAACACTCAACTGAGAGGACTTAGGCATACTGGCTGTTGTGAAGTGACCCCCGTCCCCTGCCATGGAGCTTGAGGAAGGTCAGGATGGCTCTCTTTGTCCATCCTGGAGATATGTCATCTGCCCATAGCCCGTTCCTCCTCTGTAGCAGAACCAGCTGAACTTCCTTGCTCAGGCTGTGGAGGAGGAAAGGGGCCCCAGGATTTTTCTCACGTCAATGAAAGTAAACATTGATCCATCTCTGCCTTATTCCACACTAAAATTTGCACCATTTATCAAAACAAGAGTGGAGGAGTAATATGATGTATTTAATTTATTGGTTCATTTTTTGTTTCTTGTATTATAGCATGCTTTGCAAAATCTCTTTGTTTTATATTTTCCAAATGGTTATGAAAAAAGACGCAGTATGTATTTTTATGACTGAGCGCCACCTTTAAGAGTTCTGGGACTCTCCATCCAGTGACATTGTGCCTGGTGCATCACAGCACCTGAGTGATTCACGCCAATCCTTCAGAACCTAATCAATAAAGCCCATGTTGAACATAACATTTTTTGAGGACTGTCTGTACAAGTGTAGAATGTTGAAATGCCTGTACATAGTACAAGGTTAAGCTGAGCATAAATACAAGCAAACTAGACGGTTATGTGTAAAGGTAGGCTGGCTGAGTAAACAGAGACATAAAGCAAACCCTTGCCATTTATCAACATGTGCAGTTAACTGCGTACAATATTAAAACACTATAGTAATGATATTACAGTTAAAAGTAGAACATACAGACCTAGGCTTTTGTATAGTATATATCAAGTTAAGTACAGGCAATGGTAAGGGTCTTAGACTGTGAAAACTCAAGATGTGTCTTTGATGAACATTAGGACATAAACACTTGTGGTTAGTAGTTTCTCACACGTGACTAATTCTTAGTGGGGTCAACCACACGGCCCATGTGTAGCAGGGTTTTGGTGGCTTCATGGTAGATGAGGAAGAGGAAGGGCCTGTTGATGGTGAGCCTCGGAGGAAGACTGTCCATGAAAGGGCTGTCTGAAACTGGGGCAGCTGAGCCCCCTTTTTCATCTATTTCCACTGAGACCTTATGGACCACCTGGAAGAAGAAGGGCATCCGTAAATACATACTGATGCTATGATAACCACCACCTTCAACATGTCACACAGTTAGCTATTTTTTTTTCTGTAAAGTTTTCTGTAAACATATTGTATGTTTACATTTGTGTATACACATTTAACCACATAAATTTAGGTTATTTGTTATTATAAACAAAATAGTATTGTGATGTTTTAGCTTTGTGTACATAATATGCCATAATATGTCCTTAAAGGCTGTAGCACACCAACTCAACATTACCCAACAATCACCAATATTCTGATATTGGCAGTTGGCTCTTACGGGTCCAGAATATGTACTGGCAGGCCAAAGAACATTCTAGAACCTTTGAGAGGACATTTTAAAACAGTGTGAAAGAAAGACAATTAAGGGTGTATGAAAATGTTGCTACACTTGAGTATCACAATATTATATTTTGTGATACTGTATTATTTCTCAAAAACACTATCAATTTTTAATTAACATAATTTGCATTCAAAGATTTGTAGCAGACAGTGATTTATTTTGTGTGTGTTAAAACTAATTATTTTAATCTGATTTTATGCATATTGTGGTGTTTTTATAATATAACAGTTTTCCTAAATGTATATTAAAAAAAGCAATATATTGTCTCGCTTACAGTATTGCAGTATACTGCAGTATACTGAATTGTAACCCCTGTATCATGATACGTATTGTCACCCCTGTATCATGATACGTATTGTCTTGCCACATTCTTGCCAATACACAGCCCAAAAGACAATATTCTAGAACACTGTGAATCGAGGACTGTACTCTACAACAGTGTGAATGGGGGAGAACATTCTAGACCAATGTGAATAGTTCATTTGGCTTGACAGTGAAGGGAGAAAACATTCTATAACAGTGTGAACATTAAAGAACGCTGTGAATAGGGGACAGCTAAGACTGTCACGAATGTGAAATTTTAGCTAATGTTAATTGTCATATAAATAATTGCGATTAAAGGTTTAATTGTCTTTTTGTTCATTGTAACTATTCAGTCTCGTTCATTGAAGCTATTAAAAAACAAGCTAAAAGTGGCCAAATTGGCTGATTAGCCACCTTACTTGTTAGCTATATTTACTTGGTAGTTAACGTTGGTTGTACCATTGAATCAATGCTGCACGCACGTTAACACAAATGTCTACAGTCACAACCAATTATGTGCAGAGTTAAGCAAGGCTACGTGTTCTTCATGAGCTAGTATACATGCTAAAAATTAGCTACTTAGGCTAATTATATGTTAGGCTAGTTATATGGCTGTGAAATCTAATGACTGTGGAAAATGACAGCTTGCATCATCTCAGTTAACTGACCATCTCAATTGCGATTAGCCGATTAGGTAATAATTGTGACAACCTTAAGAAAAACGTTCTAGAACAGTGTGTGAATGGGGGTCAACATTCTAGAACAGTGGGAATGGTTTGTTTGGCTTGACCGTGAAGGCATTGGAGGCTAGTGTTCTGGAATATTGTAGATAGCTGTTCTAGCAAATGTTCTAGAACAGTGTAAATGGTTTGTTTGGCTTGTCAGTAAATGATGAAAACATTCCAAAACAGTGTGAATAGGCACAATAGGCATCATTCTAGAACAGTGTGGATGGCGGACAACGTTCTAAAACAGTGTGAATAGGCACATGGTTCTAGAACAGTGTGGATGGCGACCAACGTTCTAAAACTGTGTGAATAGGCACATGGTTCTAGAACAGTGTGGATGGCGAACAACGTTCTAAAACTGTGTGAATAGGCACATGGTTCTAGAACAGTGTGGATGGTGGACAACATTCTAAAACAGTGTGAATAGGCACATCATTCTAGAACAGTGTGGATGTTTTTTTAAATGTCAGTGAACATTGCAGAGGTCTTCAATTCCAGGCCTTAAATCTTAAAGCCATCTAGTGTCATATTGGATTCAAGGTCTAGATTTGAACACATCCATTCTAAACACTCCCAGCAGTCAGACACAGGTAGGGCACACCAACCAAATGTTTGAGTTTGTTGGCGTTTGTTGGACAACATTGGGCCAATGTTATGATTATGCTCAGACCTTATGTAGGTCACCACGTTGGTTCAATATTTCTTATAAAAATACAACAAGAGAGCACTGCACACACTGAAGAGAGGCGACTTTTTAAACAACAGATCCACTCAATACTACAGCACTGCCGAGCATTGTTTTCTTGTGCTCCAGATTCTCGGTGCCCCACCTCCTCACCCCACCTATGGTAATGATCAAAAATGAACATATCCTACCTCAGAGAGCTTCAGGCCTGGGGAGCTGCTGATGCCAGACAGGTCTGCGCCGCTCTCAAAGATTTTGGTAATGCCCAGACTGGGAAGGCTTTGCTTCAGTGAAAAGGTCTGCTCTAGGGAAAACTTGGGCAACTGGACCTCTAACTTCCTGTTGAGAGTTTATTTCAAAAGACATTATCTTGTGGCAGTCATGGACACAAGAACATCTTGTTTTCTAGTACTGTCTAATACTAGATAAAAGTATTACTTTAATAAAAGGATAAAGTAAGTAAAAGCAGTTCTGTTTAATTAACAAGCAATGTGAAAAACTGATCATATCTAAATAGTCACTGACTTACGTCTTCTTTAGCTTTAAGACCCATCTGAAGAATACTTCATTGGTCATGGCTTCATCAATGAAGGTGTAATCCACATCTTCATCTGGCAGAAGGACAAGCATGGCAGTGCCATCCATGCATGGCAGCTTCAGAATGCCCACCTTTAGTGACGGATCGTAGGCCAGGTAGTATTTATCTGAGCGGAACATCATGGGCACCTGGACAATGTGGTACTTATTAACATAGAAACGCTCTTCCTGGGTGAAGCTGGCATTGAAGAGGAGCTGCCATTTTCCTGGTAAAGTAAAGCAGAGAAAGCGTTACAGATTGTGTTTGATAGGCTTTGTGCAATGGCAGCAGACAAGAAGTTTTGTGAGCTTTGTACTTAAAGGAATACTCCAGCATTTCTCAACTTAATCTCTATCTGCCACACCTGAATCATGCCGTTTATTACCAGAGACGATGTGTTCTATGTGTCTGCCTGTTATTAGAAAAGAACTGAAATCCAGTTGACTTGAAACTCACTTATAATGGAGGCCAATAAGCAGTTGTTGAATTGAATAAATGTGTGAAATATGACTATACAAAGCAAAAACTATCACCTTTTACACTCTAACAATACAGATATAAAAAAAAACAGACAAAATGGGACTCCTAACAACCGTGTAAAACCTAATACACCACCAAAACTGTCATCATCTGATAAACAGCACTTAAAGCTTTCATCTTTGAGATGAACTTTTACAAAATCCTCAAGTGTTCCTCCCTCCTTCCACTGTGAGAAGACAACTCAGCACTATGGATTTAAACGGATGTGTAGCTGTCAAGAAGCTCCAAATGAGAAAAGCAAATAGACAAAAAAGAAGAAAATATGTAAATCAAACATAGAAGCTGCTGATGTTCTCAGAAGAACAGACTCTCCAGCCCAGAATCCAGACCTTAACATCAGTGAAGGCGTTTGGGATTATTTAGATTGTGGAAAGCAGAAACTGCAACCAATTTCTATGACTGAACTTTGGAGGTGTGAGAAAATATCCCTGCAGATTTCTTTGAAAAACTATAAGCAAGTCTCCTGAAAAGAATGGTAGCAGTAATACAGGCAATGTGTGAACACACTAAACAGTAAAAAAAAATGATATTATATTTAGTTGTTGAGGCTTCTGTTTAATTTTCTGTCTTTTTTGTTTTCTGAGAAAAATAGATAATCTTAGAAAATAATTATCTTTAAATAATAATCTTTAAATAATCTTAGAAAAATAAGAACTGGTTATGAATGGCCTTTTCAACCAACCAAAACGACACCTGGACATCATCAGAGCAACATCATTCATTTCATCTTTATATTTTACCTGAATAAAAAAAATATTCTAAAAAAACAAATTGTCTTTTAAATGTTTACTGACTGAATTTAGCAACTGCCTAATGTCTTATGTCTGGTTTTGGTTCAACTAGAATTCAGTTTTTTTAAGCAGAGGGAAACACATCAAAATTGTTGTGCCTGGTAAAAAAAATCATACGCTGCAGATGCAAATAGCGATTTATGTTGAAAGATTCCGTTAGTCTAACAGTGCATTCCACAGGTCCTTGATGTCTATCTGCACTTTAGGAGGCCAACTATTTGAGGGAGTTCTTACCTGTAAAGTATGCAGCACTGATCAGCATCAGTTGGCTTTGAGGATCCACAGTGTCAACCACCTCCCTGACCTTGTTCGCTGTTGCACTCGTAACAAAGTTGTTGATGTTCGCTTTGGCAGCCTGAGCATTAGCAAAGTCCACATTTTGGACGTCAGTGCCATAGAACTTCTTGACCTGACTGCTGAAGCTGGACTCAGTCTGGACCTGCTGGCTGGTGAAGA